TGCCTTGTAGCATCCAATGTTCTCTACCTACCCAGTATGGATGCTATTCTGTTATATAAAACAGCAACAAACATAGAAGTTTAAACAAATAAAACCTATTTCAAAATGTAATAAAGATTTACCGGATCTAGGGGAGCCAAGTGGGGAATACATACCCCGGGAACCAGAGTCAGGCAGGGGGTGCCAAAATCATAATATTATACAGTAAAAAAATACGAGCTTCACAAAAATGTCTTAAAATTCACGCACATTATTATTTCCATGTAAATGAAATAAACTTATTCCATGATCAGAGTCCTTGTTAAACTATTGAATTTATATAATATTTATTAGATCTTGCACCTAAGTTTTAGGTTGTCTACAAAGAGTTGTATTAATACAAAAAAAAAAATCAATGTATTGGAAAAGTCTCTTATTAATCTAATAATTACTGTTAAGTGATAATGTATTATATGCAAAATACATGAACTACAATGCAAAATATAACTCTTATTCGGACGTATAATACTTATCATAAAAAATACTTTAAAAAAACAATTGTACCAGACTGGATTCAAACCGATGACATATTAAGTATTTTATGATAAATATAAAGTAGCCTTATAAATGTAACATTCGCTAAAAACAATAACTTTAGATTTTAATTGTGAAAACTGACTAATAATTATAAGTTACCACTATTAAAAGTACAGCTTTAAATAAAATTATTCTATAAATTAGTGTTTTTTTTTAATAAACGTTCAAGCTAAGCTTAGACCACTTACAATATAGGTGCGTTATTACATCCACTGATCCTACATCATACTGCCTGGGTAGTATGACTACACGAACTCGAGAGACTCGAGCAACAGATGAAGAGTGAGATATTCCCTTACAATATATCACTATCAGTCCCGCTCTCGATCAACGCTGCGAGTAAATTCGACGCTCATTTCTAGTTCCATAACTAAGGTAGAAACGGGATCCTATTTCTAAAACTCTGTCCGTCCGCATATCTGTCTCTTTATCACATGAAAAGTGAAAACATGATAATTTCTGTTGCGACTATAACAACAAATACTAATTACAACAACAACGTAATTTTAATGCGTCTTTTTTTTATATAAAATGATAAGGAACCTTCGTGCCGGGGTCCTTTGAAATCCTTCGGCCAGTTTTTTACAAATTGTAAAGTGAATCTTCGTTTGTGCAGTACCGCAATGCTATTCTTTTATAAAAACAGTCTCGAACTCCGCGTAGCTCGGCGATATCATAGCAAACAGCAGTATTTCTCACCATTCTCCTTGGTTGCGGCCAACGAATTTTTTTTTTTTAAAGACTGAAGCCAAGCCTCACACCAAATTACGAATGATGCAATATATGCGGATACAATATACATACAAACATCGTCGCGTCGTCGACGTCTATTTGCGCTTCGGACGATAAGAGAGCTCGAACTATCATCACACAAGGAACGGACCACGCCTCCAAATGATAAGCCATCAATACAGTGACCACGCAAACATAATATTTTCATATCAAGTGTCATTTAAAGAGTCGGTTTTTATACTGAAACGAAATCGATTTAGGCTACTGAGAATATTTTCTTTTTTTTTTAATCGACTACCACATGGTCGCAGCAGGACTTCCGATCTCGCACGAATAGTAGATGGATTTTTTAATTTATTAAATGGCTCAATAAAAACAAACAAAATAGATTTTGAGTGTTTAATAACAAAATAACGGAAAGCATTTTGCCAAAAAACAACAACACTTCAGACGTCATACAAATATTGTCAAAGATACCAAAAGATCGCTTTTAAACGGTTATAGTGATAAGGTTGTAAGACGAATTGTCTGGAAAATTTCAAAAAAATATAGTGCATGAAAATAAGAAACAAAACAGATCAATGTATTGTTTAAAATTATTATTTTTTTTTGTTGTTGTTGTTTTAGTGGAGTAAAAAAATAGTAAAAACTTTTTCTGCGATTTACATGGCTGGATATAAAAACATCTCCTGTTTAAATAGTCCTAGATTTGGTCATCGAGTTGACCCATACATTAATGTTATCGAGATACTCCACGAATACCCTATAAACTTTGGTTTATCTTTGAATACATTTGTAACAATTGCAAAACCATTTACGTCATGATACTGTAATCACATTGATCAAACTGAAATCAGCGTTAGTGCATTTAAATTAAGATTAATTTATTCTCAATAAAACAGAATAGATAAAATGACATATACTTTTGATAATTAACATTATCTAGGCGTAATAAAGTGAAAATCTGTGTAATGATCTAGTGCAAAGTCTATGCACTTTACTCGAGTGTTTTATGATTAATTTTATCTTCTAATATTACAAACGTATGTAAGGAAAGTACTGTGTGATTCTGTTGTTCTTTATTGATTAAATAGCTGACTACGAATTTCACGCCGCCTTTTATGCGAAATTCATTATTTTATAAAATAGCTTATGTTACTTTTTTCTCGTAGGCGAATGCCTTATCGACTGTCCTCGTCGCATGAAAGAAGAATACCCACTAATGCCCACCGAACACCGTCTCTCTTTTGGGAGAATAGTCCGAGATCCAGCAGGGAGTGCTTCTGTTAATTGCAGCTTTAAGTTTGTTGCGCATCTGACGAAAGATTCATGGTATCTCGTCAGACGCGGAACGTCGGTACAAACAAAATCATATGTATCTACATATATACGTTAATAATGCCACTCCAATTTCTTAAATCGTGTTTTCTATTTTACCCGCCCTGTAAAGCTTCTTTAGACATTTTTGGCCGATCTCAGTAGTGGTTCCTAAAGAAACCCAGTCATGACCGCTCAGCGGAAGGTTGACTGTCTGAGGAAAAGAATGTTATGTACTTTGAGTCATTTCCTTCTTGCTGACGGTAAACCTCTCTACATGGAATTCAAACGTCGAGATTTGGATGTCGATGTCATTGTATAAAGAAAGTATGTTTACGACAAAAATAACGATATGATTCATTAAACAAAAACAAATAAGAACACTTTATCTATAACTGAATGAGGTGACGAAATTATTTATGTTTCATTTATTAACAAACACGTTGGTCGCCAGTGGGCAACAACCCAATTATTATTGATTTCAGAACTTACTGAACTAATGACATGTGATTATTTTTACGACTTTACCTCCTAGTGGAGGTATCACATTAAAAAATATATTTTATCAGCCTAATAAACACCCATTGATACGACATGGCCTTGCCTTTGAATACAGAACGCCCCCATATAACGGTAACCCATCCTATTATGGACCTTTGCAAAAATTGCTTGGCCTTCGAAATGACCAGCGAAGCTTAATAGCGGTTACAACAATTGATAGACGCAAAAATAAGCTACAATGTGTTTAAGTGTGTACGTTTTAGGAAAATATTTATTACTTTGGAAAGGTGAATTTCAATTATTAAGTTTAAATTTTTTAAATTATAAAATGGCCGGTTCTTTAGAAAAACGTGTATTACCTCGTCTCTGATTTTTTTATTATAAGTAATTTAAATGTTTAAAAAATCTTTTTTTACATTTTTTTTATTTATTTATTTTGTACACACATACAATATCATTAGTACAAGGGCACTGCTTATTTATTATTTATATATATATATATATATATATATTGATTAATCTTGGTCTCATTTAAATTTTATCGAAATTCGCTTATAAGTTCATTGATCGATGTAGGTATAAAATATGATAGTTCGTGAACTTTAAATGTTTTGCAACTAAATTGTAATGTTGTGAATCGAAATGACGTTGATATCTTACAAGATCGAAAATAAAACAAGGCGTGCTTTATGTTTTGATAATGTGATATATTTATGAATTTAACGATAACTCATGCGTCACAAACATTACGCCCGATCAAACATATTTTGAAAATGTACGTTAACATTTAACATGCTATTTTTTATATAATCAACGTTAGATTTACTTACACAATTTTAATGACTATAATTATGCCGGAAAAAATCATAGCCAGTCCACAAAATTTAATGTTTTATTAGTTAAGGTTAATTTATAGTGAAGAAGTGTCCTCACCGGTAAGTATTAGAAAAAGCACCGACAAGAAATAGAACATTCGTAAGGCATTCTCATTGGTGTAGAACTAAAGTATCGATAAAATTTTAATACAAATGTACTTACATATACATAAAGATACCAATATTATCCATACATTTGCATATTTATCGTACTTTGAACCAGAATCAGCAACAATGGCAAATTATACCCATCGATCAATATGACCAGTGGTCATACACGTGAACACATCATTCACGCTTCATTTTCATGGTGATTGATATGTTTTATCTATTGAAACAAATATCGTAAGGTATATTACTTGAATCGAGGGTAATCTTACATTGAGTAAATATAAAATGGATATGGCAATAACATTAAAAAGCATGTTATCAAAAAGAAAAGATTTATCAAAGAAAATATTTGAATTAATACAGTAATTTTATTGTTAATTCTAATTTTATAACGTGTAAATTTTGCTCAAGTGTACGATAAACTGTCCAAATAAAATTTCCATGTGGTTACTTCGAATAGATTTTAAGCGATAAGGATTTCATTTGTTCTACTAATATGCATTTTATGATTTTAGTGTTCCTATGAATAAAGAGTATTATTACTATATTTAATCAATTTTGCAATCAAAATGGTATACTAAAAAAATCTTTGTTTGCGATCATGTGAGATGAAATGCTTAATTGTGATCATATAATTTTGATCATGCTTCGTGCGATCAAATTTAAAAGGCAAAAGTTTAAAGTTCACCAGATTTGTTAACGGTTTCTTTTAATCCGTGTTATAAAAATAAAATAATTCTTTTAAAATTCTATCTACATATTTAAAATCAAGAAATACCTGTTAAATTTAATAAATTATAGTAACATGTCCATACTCTATAACATCAATGTAACAAAGATACACTTATATAAAGATGCACGTTGCGATGTTCAACTTCAGAATCGTAACAGACATACCGACGTACAGACATACAATACGTTTTATAATTACAATTGACACAAAATAACATCATTACACGATGTCTAGAGACGAAGCTTCTATGCAGATATTGAGGAAGGTGGTTATTGATGGATTACTTATGTGTGGACGTAAGTACTTTTAATTTTATTTATAATAAAGAGATAAAGAAATAGATGTGCTTGTAATTTTCAATTATGAAATTTTTTGATTTAATACCAAAATTTTATCTTTAAAGTTTTAAGTGTAGATGTCGTTACACTGTTAAAGGCTGATTAGTTTCACCATTTTTCTTATCAGTATAAAGACATTCTGTATGGATGGTAAGATTGACTTTGAGAATTAAAATGAGTACTATGTATCTATGTAATATGTGCAGTGTATAATATATCAATAAAATAATTAGGACCATGAAAAAGTGCTTCAGTGATTTTTTTTTTTTAATATTTATGGCCCTCTTTTGCCTCTGCTTACGTTCCCATACAAATACGCAAAGAAATACACATCGAAAGTTAATACGCGATCGTTTGATTCCATGCATTTTAATCAAAGAAAAAAATGCGGTTATAAAAAATGCAATCAAAAAAATATATCAATACATATTTTTTTATAGTTAAGATGAAATATACTAGTCGTGGCCCACTCATAAGGACCTAAGCCCTTGCAATGGGTATGTAAAAGGACTAATGATAATACTAGTTTTAAAATCGACACAAAAGCCCTGTTTATTGGCGTCATCTTTGCGATTTTGTTTTACCAGCGTATTATTGAAATTTATGTTTTTGTTTTTAGCAAGCAAACAATAATATGTTTAATTTTCATAAAATGATTTTTATTCTGCAAATATTAGCTGAGCATTAGATTAAAATTTGTTTAAAAAGTAATAATTTCGTACAACTGTGACGGTGCGTCGTAACACCGACCGTTTATTTTGTCCTAGGTTTCCGCATGCAAACTTTTTGTCTTTGATCTTCAATATAATTTTTTTTTATTATTCACCTTTTCACCTTTTTATTATGTAATTTGAAATTTTGAGTAATCCAAAATGCTCTTTATGAATGTCAGTTCGTAAAAAAATCATCTGTTGTGAAAATTATAATTTAATCATATAAATTTAAATACATAAACCTAATAATATTAAAGTTATTATAATTTAAATAAGAAAATGTAAATCTAAAAATATTTCTTCGTGAAATATCTACCAAGTTTTATCTATTACGGAAAACCCAGAAACGCGGTATGTATTTGAACTATTTAACTATTTCAATTGTATTATTTTGGTAATCATACGAACTGTTTTCATATTCATTTTTTGTTTGTTACAGTTTTCTTTTTTTTTTATCATATAAATGAATCAAGTTCTCAAGCTCAGTCAGCCTATTATGCATTTGCTCAAGCACCGAACTCGTAACACAACCTCGCCTTAAAATAACGTAGCAGATGTAATAATATCATTTATTAATCCTTATCAAACGATAACGAATATTTTTGCCATTCTACTTAATCTTTAGATAACATTATATCATGAGATATCAAATAATGTAGATATTCTGCCATTTACTCCTTTTTAACAGACGTTATTTCCATTTGAATAACAAATTTATTGCCATTATAGTATCTCAAGAATATAAAAATAAAATACACTTGAAATAAATAAAATTTCAAATTTAAAATTTTCTATAAATCCAAAAATTTTTTGGTAGGAAATAAGACTCCACCACTGTTACAATAACAAAAAGTAGACACAATAAATTTAAAGGGCTTATTATGAATCCTATTGTAAACCTTTACATTTGATAAGTTGCATGATACAGACATTTTTTTATTTTCTAAATGACCGCCATATTTTAAATTCATTTATTTACGATGCTGATTATATAAATGCCTAACAATCAAAAGAATGTTTCCGGTATTTACAGAGTAAATAAGCTGTGACAGACAGACGGAATAAATATATTATTTATTACATTATTAAACATTTCCATAAAGTGCATAAAATTATAGGGCAAGAGCCGGCTTTGACTCTGGCCCCCTTTCAGCTAGGTATTTGGGATTTTGTGATGTTCTAACTTACTTAAAAACAATAATATTATGTTGTCTTATACTTTAAAATGTAAAATTATGTCAAATAAAGTTGCTAGAAGAGATGTAGCTTTCTTTAAAAATGCCCTAAATCGGGTAATTGCCCTACATGAGCATAAAAGACGACCTGAGTGCCAAGGTAGCCATTTCTACTAACATATTTTAGCATCATTTTTTTGAAATGTCGAATGACCACATTAAGTGTCAAGATATAACTTTCTCATATAAGAGTTGGTTCCTATTACTGCCCGGTAGGTATTGAAATTTACTATCGATAATAGTGAGCCGTCTTAGACAACGCCTCATATAATTTTTTTTTTATTGTAATTACCAGTTGTGTTATGCATCATGGCTTCCCGGGAGTTTTTGGAGCCATTCCAACGTGGATTCTTCTGCTTGGACGAGTCACTGATGTTCCCATACAAAGGAGACACGGTCACCACACCCACGCTGCGGCTTGTTGGACTACTTCTACCATCTGTCGCTGTAAGAGTCCTCTTCATACTTACTTTATTTTTTTTTACAACTTTTTTCATTTTCTTTTTTCTTTTTTGATTGGGTTGATATAATAATATTAATGTGTATATCTATACTAATAATATTATATTCCTTCTCGAGGAGCTCTATAGCTTAATAATTAGCGCCTCGGTCTACCATATGCTTGTCAAGCTACTTCCGCAAACCCCAGTCATAGAATGGGTGATCAAAAATTTATAATCTCAAACTCTTCCGTGCTTCGGGAGACATGTTAGGCAGTTAGTTCCGGCTGTATGTGCAGTCTTTAACACACACCAATCCGCACAGGGTCCGCGTGGCTGGATATAGTCAGTTCTCCCTATTGGATTTTATTCGATCCATCGATAGGGAACGCCTGCGCCCCAGCGCCCTCAATAGGCTGGTGATGACTATTATTATATTTCTTTGTTTGCACCGAATAGGCTCCTAAACTACAGGATCAATATTTTTTTTTTAATTACTTTGGCTGCTAATTAACGCTGACGAAGTTGCGGGAAAACAGCTAATTGTTGTGTAATTATTTATTTATCAAACTTTATTGTCCAGCTAATACATGATAAAATAAGCTGATTTAACGCTAATAGCATTCTCTACCAGTCAACCAAAAAAAATAAAATAACCATGTGGGCGGCATAAAGTGGTTATACAATAAACAAAGCTCAAAACTATACTACATACGTAAACATAATATACATACTATAATCGTTGCATAAGAAAAGTATGAGCTTTCTTTTTAATGATAGTTTAACTTTTTAGATAAACTAAATTTCATCGATAATATAATATTACACGAATGAAACATACGTTAAATAATATAATTGCTGAGCTTAAACATCATGTATGATTAGCACATTCGATTTACTGCATAACTAAAGTTTGTAAAAATATTAAATTTATACAATGTATATAAATATATAATATAACTGTTATGTCATTATAAAGACTGAAGGAATCATGTTTATGTATCAGACATAATCTAAAAAGAAAAATAATGATTCACCGATTACACCGCATGATTACCGAATTCAACATTTTCCGCTTTACGAACGACTGGTGTATCATGCAACAATTAGATAATTCAAAATTTAGTATTCTAATATAACAAATATTTAAAGATAATGCTACTATTGAAAGCTTCGATATTATAAATGCACTGCCTTTGAACGTCCGGAGTGCTCCTAACAAATTTGCATTTAAGACAGCAGCTCGCAACTTCTATTATGCTTCAAACAAGATTTCTTGATCTGACACCTTTTTCGTACTTTGTGTTATAGCTATATATATGCATTTATTTATGTATGTGTTTATTATTTTATGTATATTTAGATATAGTTCTTATGCAGAGATATCAATAGCGTATTGTCGCCAATCGCCACTTTAAGTATTGTACTAAATTTACTGGTTGACTGGTACAGAATGCCTCTTTGGCATTAAGTCCGCCATTTGTCTATTTCACTAGGCAATTAAGATTAAATAAATAAATATAAAAACAGCTAAAATAACAAACCTAATCATATTCAACATCATTCCCCCCCCCTCCTTCCGTAACATTGTAACATTCCCAGACTGTTTGTACTATACCATCTCGTACCAAAAAATTCAGCAAATCATTTATTCGCCTTACCATTAAAATGTGGAACAGTCTCCCATCCCACATATTTCCAATTAAATATAATCTTGGGTGCTTCAAAAGAGGTGTGAAAGGCTCTTTAATAGGCCGGCAAGATGGTGATGGTGATTCGACTTCTGACAGCTGCGACTATTATTTGACTGTAATGTCACTTTCCACCAGGTATATTATAGTCACTTTGTCGTACAACTATAAAAAATATATATATGTATATGTTCGTACGGGCTCAGTGATCTCAGTGATCTAAATTGAGACTTCATTGAATTTATTCTAAAGCGTTAATAAACTCAATGAAGTCTCAATTATTTAACTTTGTCAGTATACTATCTACCTGAAGTCCAATATTATAAGTGCAATGTCTTCTTACTAATCGACAGATATGTTTATTATTTTGTGATCTAGTAACAAGAACTGCATCATAAATAGTTGTAGTTTAAACGCTATTGACTTTCCCAGTGGCGTGTAACTATAGCGTGTGAGGCCCGTCGCGAATTCATCGGATATTCTATTTCTTTTACTAATGAAATAAAGAAATCCCGGGTCCACATTAATATCAACATTTCGATGCAAGTACATAGAGTAACTCCTACCTAATTCCGACCACTGGTCATGAGTAAAGAGTCTCCTGCTGGAGGAGCCCCTTCCAGCTGGGGCCCGTGGCATTTTGCCGACTTCCCACCCTGTAGTTAACATAACTACGTTAATACGTATGGGCACATATCAATATCTTACATACATAGCAAGCGTTATATCACCATCAGCCCTTTTACGTCCCCACTGCAGGGGCTCAGGCCTTCCTTATGGATGGTTAAGGAGGATAGGCCATGACCCTCCACGCTGGCCCAATGCGGATTGGAGGGTATTAACGACTCCAAATACAGCCGGGACCAACGGCTTAACGTGCCTTCCGAAGCACGGAGTAGCTCGAGATAATAATATTTTGGTCACCCATCCCGTGACCGACCCTTGCGAAAGTTGCTTAACGACTACGATCGCGGGCCGCGGCGCTTATCCTCTACGCCATCGAGCTACTCAAGCGTTATATGCACGAAAAGTATTAATGTTTTTAAAAATGTGTTAAATAAACTAATAATGTATTACAACACAAGTATGTAGGTAGACTTCCCGTGTTTATTTAATTGAACAGTAACTATCGCATTGCAACGGAACTATACGAGACACGAGACCTCTCGAATTACACCAATTACAGATAAAGAGTAGCATTCATTCATGTGCCCACAGATAGTTGAGAACAGTTCAATGACTCATTAAACATTGATGAAAACGAAGCGAATATAGTTATTGTTTTAGAAAAGGACCATTAAGTTTTGAAAACCTTCTTTAAATCATTGAACTTATTTAAATTAAATAAAGAACACATGCGAAAACATAATGATTCGAATTTTAAAATTATTGCCCATCTTCATAAAGGCTCTTGTAATTGGTACATATGCTGGAACAGCTAAACGCGCAGTTTACTCGAACAAGTTGTATTACCGATAATAGTTTATAATTTTTGCATTAAAAAAAAATACTGTTATATTTAGACGACACATATTAGCAAATCCGACAGAAGATAGTTAGATGTGAAGGCTCTCTCATAAATATGTGTTAGTTCGCGAAATACTTTCCGTCCAAAAGTGTAAGGTCGACTGTCATATTAAAATAGTCAGTTCTGTTCTGCCGTTTCACTACCGATGAGACATGGCGTATCTCCATCAGATATACACAGACCTAATTGGACCGTTTACACAATTTCAGTAGCTGAACAAATGTAGTAAGCCAGTCCACTGTTATAAAATTTCATTGGCTTGGTTACTTGGCTCTAAGATAATCCAATGCAATAAATTGATATTGGACTGTCCATTTACACCAGGCCATATCATGACAATTTAATAAGTGAGGCAAGCCAGTAGCGGTCTCGTATAAATGGATATCATTCTCAAACTAGTCTAAAGTTATAGAAAGGTTTTTAATTTTACTCCTTGGCTTACTAGATTTTCTCTATTATAGACCGTGTAAAAGGTCCATAACGTCTAAATACGGTTAGGCTCCCATCGTATAGGTACTCTGAATAGTAAGTAATTACCATTATCTTTCAGTTCCTGATCTGTGAATGGGCACTCTTGCGCAAGGAACACGACGACCAGCGCTGTTTGGGAGTGCGTATTCCCGCTTGGCTTCGCGGCTTCTACTGCACTATTGCTTCCTTCGGCCTCGGTTACTGCTTCGTAGAACTTGCCACTGACATCGCTAAGATCACGATTGGAAGGCCGAGGCCGCATTTCTTTGATGTAAGTAACTAAATATCGAATTTTTATTATAACATGCGAATCTTTTTTGAAAATCACTGTAATCACCAATTAAGAGCCATATGACAAATTTTCACTCTGTGATTTGAGTTCTCGAGAACTTGTTCAAGGTCACGAGTCCACAATACTGTGTTGAAAGCACGTTCAAGCTATTTTGATACTTTTCCCAATTTTTGTATTTATTTTAGTATTTCTATGGTGAGATTCATTATCGATTCCCGAATATTTTAAACGACTGCTCTCGAAAAGGAGTCTATTGTTTTTAGAATTAATGTATGTATGTGAGTATTTTTATTGCACCATAACTTTTGAAAGATATAACGGATATGAATGTACAGGGTATCATTAGAAACATCATCCTAAGTAACCACAAAATACATAGAGTATCAGTGAAACTAGCTTAATTATTAATATTAAATAGGTATGGGGACGTGTGACGCCATTTAAAAAAGTATGTTTTTTTATAATCATAACTTTATGGGTATCAAATTAAAGGTCCATTAAAAATATATAATCTGTATACAAAATTAACTGCTCACTAAAATGAATAAAATATAAAAATTATTTAAAAATTAAAAACACGACTGCTAAGATCGGACAAAAATTAAAAGAAACAAGTTTAGCCAAATCATAGGCTATAAATATAAATAGCGATGACAATATATCAATAAAATTATAAATATTAATTAAAAAATATGCGTGCCATATTTTTCGTCGACGATTTCGAAATATTTTCGTCATCCATAGGAAACATGGACTGTTTCCTGTTTGGAAAAGTAGTAAATTAGAATTATATTAAACTAGTTGTGCCCGCGGCTTTATGCGAATGGAAAGTAACCTAAGGTTCTTTTCTCATGGCTAGATGCGATGTTATTCGATATGAATGAACGATATCACACGAATCGCATGCACTTATAAAATGTATGGAAAAACTCAAGTGTTTGCTCATGAGATTGTACTATCTGTCAATATCGGTCACAAATCTCATGGTCTGCGGTATCACTTCAAATGTATGAAGGCGGTAGAACGCTCGATCTGCTTTTGATTTTCTGTTCAATAATATCGAGGAACGATTCATTTGCTCATACTTACCATATCATAAAAATATATTGAATTTTACAAAAAAATACGGCAATATCCGTATATAAACAAATGAAAAGCTCGATGGTGCCGGATAGCTCGTTTGATTTGCGATTGAGGAGGTTAAGGTAGGCCATTGTGATAGGTAGCAGGTTTAATATTAATTCTATTTCTGCATTATCTTTACCACCCCTGCTTTTGGATGGGACTCAGATCGAGTTAACAGACACTGTAAAAAATCTTGGAATTACAATGGATTCAAATCTATCATGGACTGCCCATGTATCTGAGGTTAGTCGTAGGACCTTCTTCTCATTTCACACACTTAAATGCCTTCAAAACTTTTTACCTTTTAAAACTAAAGTGTTACTAGCACAATCCTTAATTATACCTCTTCTTGACTATGCAGATGCATGTTACTTGGATGCCACTGAGGAGTTATTAAACAAACTTGAACGACTTCAAAATCTAGCGATTAGATTTATTTATGGTCTTCGTAAGTATGATCATGTGTCACATTTACGTAAGCAGCTCATGTGGCTTCCCATTCGTCAGCGTAGATATGTCAGGATTGTCTGTCTTCTGTTCAACATCCTGTATAATCCCGTCTATCCTTCCTATCTGCGTGAGCGTTTCTCCTTTCTCCGTTCTCCGTTCTCCTGATGCTCTTTGCAGATCCCACCTTAAGACTTGAAACTCCTTCACACAAAACGGATTTTGCTTCATATTCCTTCACTGTTCATGCTGCTAGACTCTGGAACTCTTTGCCTGCCGATATACGTGACAGTCGCACTATTTCTGTGTTCAAAAAAAGAGTAAAGGATCATTATCTTTCCTGTTGTTGATATTGAATAGTGTAGGTATTATTAATCTTTATATATTATAGATATATATATTATTATTTATATAATGTTTGAACCGTTATGTATTTTTATTTTCTCTCTTTCCCGGTATTTGAATTTGTTTTTTTTATTCCATATTAATTTATTTAGGAGGTACACACTGACTACCTTATTGTATTTCTTTTTCCTGTTTTGGGCCTGCTGGTAGAAATTTCAATTTGAAATAAGCAGTGCCCTTGTACTAATGTCTGTTACATTTGTTCATATGAAATTGTATGTGTGTACAAAATAAATAAATAGATAATCCAACATTTTGTGGCGGCGGCCATCTTGTATATAAAATTTTGTCATAGTAAACAGTATTCTACTACTCAAGCCCTTTTATTTAATGTCCGTATTGAGGGAGTCGTGAAAAATATGTAGGTAATCCAACATTTTTGGTGGCGGCCATCTTGGATTTGAAATTTGTCATAGTGTTCAGTATTCTACTACTCAAGCCCTCTTATTTGATACCCATATTGATGGAATGGTGATAAAATATGTGATCCGACATTTTGTGGCGGCGGCCATCTTGTATCGATTTTCATCAAAGTGAAGAACACTCCCGACTAATACACCTTTTAAACAAAATCAAAATGGGTTCATCCGTTCGGGAACTATGATGCCACAAAAAGACACAAACACACCACACACACACACACAGAGACATGTCAAACTTATAACACCGCGTCGTTTTTGCGTCCGGGATTAAAAATATATTGAATTTAGAAAAAGTTGTTTCATATGCGGATCTCCGATAAATTTGATATCGGTCGAATTGCATCGAGCCATAAGTCTAAGTTAATCCTCATTACGTAAATCAACTTCTAGTGAAAGTCTCTTCAAAATCGGCCAAGCCGTTTCAGAGATTAGCCAGAACTAACAGACAGACAGATAAAATATATTATTTTTGTATATGTACCATGTATACACACAAATGTATTTAGTGAAAAGCGGTTATTTTAATATTACAAATATGCACTCCAATTTTATGTACTAGTATAAGTGTATTGAGAGAAGAAGTACCTTGCTTTATTTGCATTTCATAATATAAATATATATTTTAACTTTCTTATACAAATATACCTAGGGGTCTTTCGACCTATGCTGAAAATAACAAATGTGTATTAGAAATAATTCAATAAGCTATATAAATTCCATATAAATCGAACTTCGTGACCAAAGTTGGAAGTCCCACTATACTGCTCTATTTACGCTCGCTCGAACGTATCTAGATCGAAAAATGGCGCGAAGAAATGCGACACAGGTCTAACGTTGAGGAGCGCTCGCGCGGTACTGAGCTCAGACGGCCGCTGCATCTTATTTTGTAGTGATTTTGCGTTTACATTTATCGTATTTATTGAAATAATATAATAAATTTATCCTTTAAAATTATGATAACTTTGTTCCTTATGAAATAGTCATTAATCTGGCATAAATTTTGTTAAATAATATTGTTGTGGCTAAGAGAAATTCAAAGTTAACTTCAAGCAATTTTTGATGTTTTTTGGTTTGTAATATAATTGTTTTTCTATATTTAATCAGTGCTATTTCAAAATTTCGAGCTACTGTTTACTTTACGACTATATAAGAGATATCATTCTATTTCTTTTATTTCGTTTGTTAAGAACAGTAGCTCAATCCAGGACTTCAAAAAAGTGTCTTTGCGCATTTTATGAAAAACTTTCTCTGGTATTTTGGATTTAATTAAAAAGATGAGCAAAATTTCCAAAAAGTTGAGCCACTAATTTCTATACCAAGAGTTATTCTTCACTATTCAACAAGTCAAAATTGTTAATTTGTTTTTGTTTCCGAGAAAAATCACGCAGAAATCACAGTTGCGATGTAATATGGCTCTTAATACATGTCCAAGTCGCGACGAATAACAACTACCTGTTGCTAACTTTTTCTCTACACGTATTATCCCTTCTGTTTACAGAGCATCTTCAGGATATACCTGGTTATCAAGTCCTTGGTTAATGAACAGCTAAAGTAACTAAGCATTAGAACACGTTATTTTTACTGTTTTTTTTTTTTAATACACAATACTAAGAAATGCTCCTAGCTGCGTGTTGATCATGTTTGAGTTTGTTGATATTATTCATATAAAAAAAACTTTATAATGCAATATTAATGAACATTGCATCTATTGGATACCTTTGGTTTATCAGAAAGAGAGGTCAAAGTTGTCGTGTCACTCTAATAAATGTAAAATGGCTAATTAATATCGGAGTTATAAAGTTATTAATAACTCTTAGACATGATAACGACGTATTTATAATGGAAAATGTTTTGATATATTATATGTATACTAATTGATAAAATGATAAACGGGTCAGATAGATATTTCCTATATTTACGGAATTCCTGAGAGTATAGATCCCTGATTGTCAACCAACAAAATGTCGGGAATTATTTATATATCAGTGACAGGAGCAGTTCCATCATAAATTATCGAAAAATTCGTTTCGTAATAGTCGATATTCGGTTTTCGGAGAAACAGTAGGCCTTCTGGAAGAAAGACACCGATGGCATATTTACATACATGCCAAGGCCAGCCTATATCTAAAAATGGATATGAGGGCTCATCCTTTATAGTCTTAGGACTGATTACGATTTATTCAATATGTGATACCTCCGCGAAATGACCTAGGAGAATTTTGTTTGGAACGTTTTTTTACAATATGTAACATGCATACTACAAAAAATTCATAATTATCATGGCACATGATACCAACTAAAAGCACAATACTTCAAGAAAAAAAAATATAATCTTTATTTTTATTAAAACAGTACATTTACGATAATACATACGTAAGAACTACCTATTAGAAAAATATCAATTATTCTTTCGCCAGTAGAATGGTGAGATTATCGCTTATCTTATTTATCGTAAAACTGGTCACGGCAATTACCGTAGGAAATCATGGTCTGCTTTAACCAGTATATACACATGAAAAAAATACTTTTGATATGACAATTTCAATAAATAATTTAAAATTAACATAAGATAATCTTTTCAGGTATGCCAGCCATCCATAGACTGTCAATCAGCGGAATGGCAAAACCGATACATACAGTCGCATGAGTACACCTGCACTGGCCCCATGGCGCATAAGTTCAGAGAAATGCGCCTTTCTTTCCTTAGCGGCCACTCTGCTGTGGCGGCGTACACCATGGTGTACTTTGCTGTAAGTTATATCTTCATCAGCCTGTGTCAACTGCTGTGGTCTGTGGATAGAATCACATACTAAGGACGGGTCATATCTCTAAAATCGATTATCTATAAAACGCGTCAAAGCCAAGAACAATAGCTTAACGTGTAAAAGTATCAAGGCGCTCAAAATTTTTGACACCCATCCGAAAGCTTTTAACCTCCGCAATCGCAAATCGATTAATTGCAAAATATACAAAATTGTTTTGTTTTTCTGTAAAAGCAGATTTTGAGTAAAGTTCGTTTTTCAAACATTCTTATTAAAGAATTTCAAGGTCATCTAAAGATTGAAAATATTGGGATCCGCTACCTATATATATTTCAATAAGACAAATGATGGCATTTCATCCAGAATGTTAAGTGCTACAGTTGATTTATATTTAAAGCTGAAACCATACGCATTATTTCAAATACAAGTCTTGATTGTGAAATGATTCACTTGACCTTCTTCAATTTCTTCTCATTGTTTCGACGAGAAACTTATTATCAATGAATTTTAAAGGTATTAACTTTGATATGCCCCAAACAAAAAAATAAAGATAAAAAAAACTTTGATATGAAAACTGTTTATTTGAACTATGTTTTATAAACAAACAGTAATAATTTGCCCTTAGGATAGTAATTAAAACAACGAAGAAGCATATTTATTAACGAAAATAAAAATTTCAGTTGTATCTAGAGAAACGCATGGTGTGGAAAACAACACGTATTCTAAGACACATCCTGCAGTTCGTGGCGCTGATGCTGAGCTGGTTCACCGCATTGTCAAGAGTATCAGACTTCAAACACCACTGGAGTGATGTTCTCGCCGGTTACTCTCTGGGACTTAGCATTGCCATTGTCGTGGTGAGTTTTTTTTTAATCTTTAATGCCATTCAATATCTTTTTTATCTTCATGTTTTGTTTGCTTAGGTTAGGCTTTTCTTTTTCACCTTGTCTTCTGAGGATATTTCTTTATTACCTGACTTTCTTATTTTCTGCTTATTACAATATATTCACTTCCTATGTACTGTTCTTTTTAAATTTATGCATGTTACGAATTTGTCTAGCGTTACACTTCTGCCCTAAATCTCACGTTCATTTATTTTGTAATGACTATTGTATCCACTACAAGCATTTGCAACAAGCCAATGCTTCCAAGCATTTTAGTTTATTAAAAAATCCTTTATGGTTATACAGAGTTAAGATTATATCGGCATATTTATTAAATTGAAATCAATTTAAATAGCCTTGTGTGAAGAGGAGACTAATTAGTAGGATAGATTCACTACCGTTAGTCTCAAATATCAGTAATTATAACATAATGTGTTTCTTTTGGTGACACTATAAATATATAAAATAATATGCAATATTTCATGATATTGAGTCATTCTAAAAAGCCACGTAGTATAAGTGTGATGGGTTCACCTTTTTTCAAACGATAAAAAGAGTTTTTATCGGACTAATGATTGTTGCTAAGCTATAAGTGTAGTTATCATTTAAGTTATTCGGATAATAAAAGTTATTGCTCGATAAGAAGGAACTGACACTTTAAAGAAACTGTCGATTTGCAAATATCCTATTTAATATAGATATCATCGGCATATCAGTCTAAAAAGGTTTACCACTGGACGTTGACCTCTCGCAAAAATGTACAACGTACGACCGCGCGAGGTTCATAATTAACACTTGCAATCAAGACCTAATTATAACTAAAATAAAATACTATCTCACTTTAAAATAGCTCTTTGTTGTAACTGTTAGTTACACGGTATTGCAATATCCCCGAAGATACGCCTTCCGCTTCTTTGACGTCCATTATTGTTTCCATACACACTTGCCGGTATTTTATGCTTCTGACATCCTTTTCCAACAGCGCGCTATCGATTTCACTGTGAAGTCTCTGTGCCTTCTCCGAATTCTACATACTTCTACTTCTTTGTTCTATAATTCTCTTCTTAATAATTAAAAGTTGTTTAATAATGACATTAAAACCAACTATAAATTATTTTCCACGTTATACCTATGCAAGTGTATGTCCACTCATATATTCTGCTAATGTATGGTTAACAATAATCTATCGTATAGATAGGTAGGTACTCTGATAGTGGAATCAGCAGTAGCTCTGTATGGCGCCAAACCTCTTGATTTTATTTGCGAATAACATACATCAAATCACTTATAATTAAATTCTAAGATATTGACTCTATGCCGGTCTCGATCAGAAAGAAAGATTATCAACTAGCAAAACACAAACACGAGAATTCAAATACGGAAAAGTAATAACTCAAAATATTAACGGCCATAAACCCTCCGAAGAGTAAACCTACCTATAGTAATGAGCACGGACGTTACAGTAGCAAATTTCAGCAGCTAGATAATTTGTATTATTTTTGTGTAGGTGTTTAAAGATATTTTATCCTACTAATATTCTAAATGAGAAATTTTGTGAGGATTATGTTTGTTACTCTTTCACGCAAAAACTATAGAATGGGTTTTGATGTTATTTAGCATGGGAATGATTTTTAGTGTAACCACGTCACTGGCGAAAAGATAGTTTTACAATAATTCTAAAAAAGTTTCCAATTTTTACATTAATTCCTAATAACACTTTTCATATTTTGTAATACGTGTTGTTTCATATAGTGTGGGTGGCGTGGTGTCTGTAGCCACAATTTCATTCTCAATTCAGATTTGTGTAGCCATATTTTTAAATTAAAATTGTTTTTAAACATTTTGGTCGTAACTATTTTCTAACTAATGGTGTTTCTTTACAGTCGCTATGGTGCACCGATGTAGTCCAGAAGAAACGGAAGCATCTCGCTGTGCCACAACAAGAAATCTCCTTGAGGAACCAAGAGCATCAGCATAGTATTTAGCATACCACCGCCTAATCTGACTAAAACTATCATTATCAAAAAAAAAGTGTAAAATCTCGGGTGTTATCATTCAATTTTTGAGAGAAATTTGATTCGCCAAGAATATCGTCAATAATGGTAGAAATTTCTTTCGATCGTTAAGTGTGAAAATTTGTTGTTAACATTGCGTGTTCACCACCAAATAGGAACATCCAGGGCAGACCATCGCCCCCCCCCCCCCCCCCCAAGCTACGCTTAAACGATCGAGAGATTCTCACCAGTACGATATACACTTATCAACACATCCGGTTACTAAAAGCGGAATTTCTAAAATCAATTTTAAACTTAACTACCAAGACATCAAAACTAATCTATTGAAGTGTAACCAAACGTGTCGTTGTGTGTCATATTATACCAACGTAATCTCACATAAAATAAAGAAAGACAAAAATGTATAGAATTGATAATCGGATCACGCCATCATTCATTGATAAGGAAATGATAAAATAAATTATAATCTCGTCTACATTTGTGAAACGACTCGAAATAACAATTTATTTCAGCAGTGTTATTCTATTTAAATTATGGCGTCGAACATTCTCCGTCTTATTCTAAACCGAGGACTAACTTTCGTACCAGATTTAAACCATTATCCGACCAAAATAAGTGTTTCCAAAATCTTTTCAATTTGACGTTTTCTCTTGCGAATTTGCTTTAGGCGGTTATAAGTAAACATATTAAGTTAGTCCTCGTTTAGTCAATTTTGAACAAGAGGATAGTTAGAGGTTCAATCAAATAAAACCTTCTTCAAAAAGCAAAAAAGGTTTTATTTGATTCAACCTCTAATGCTGCGACGTAACTGTGTTCGGCGCTGTTTTTTACAGAATACCAAAGCTGTTCTGCGTGTTGACCGCATATTAAATTGAACTTTATACACCTGTTATTGAAATAGAATTTAATGCTTTTATAGTTTCATTAGGCTTGAGTTACATCTGGCAGTACAATATCTTCTTTTGTCGTCACTCTGTCCTTTTCTGTGATTCATAACCGCCTTTTGCTAGAGTCAGAAAGATAATGTGTTAACGCTTGAAGGTTTCCGCAACTTGCTATAGCACAATTGCTATCTTTCTCGCTGTTTGGCGGTTAAACAATGACGTTTTTAAGTGACAGAAATGGATTGGGTACTGTAAGATAGAGCTTAACCCTTAAAGTTTGAGGTCCCGTATGGACCTTTAGAACTTTGCCTAGTTATATGTATGTACGGCCAAAGACTACTTTAATTATCATGCCAGTAGACCCGCTGGACGATCTGACAGTTAAATCTTAGGTAAATTATTATTATATAAAAAAAATATGTAAAAATTTATTTTAGGTTCCCTTTAGAACAATCTGTTGAACATAGCAATTGTACTACAGGTTGACATAACAATTAATAAACTTATAATAGTGTAATAATAAATGAATGAACTCACAATAGTGCAATTTCAATAAATAATTGAACTCAAAATAGTGTAATTGAAATGAAAGATTTAAACTTTAACCTTAAATTAGTCATACCTACTGTTAGATAAAGTGAGTTACAAATTATTAATTTATGAAAAATAATTGTAAATGCTTACTTAAAATTGCTAAATTCACGCTAAAATGTATTGTTTGTTGCATATTTGGTACTTTTGGGTGCATATTTGGTAATTCTGTTAGCTATTATTTATTTACATTGACTCAATAAATAAGTTAAGTAGAACACATTGAATTTTAAAGTTTTATCATTTGACGTATTTTTTTCCTCATTTCCATAACAAACGAATTCATGCGAATATTCATTCATACGTTTATAAGTCCGGATTGTCGCGAATCTATGCGAGATTTGGAATCTGGGTAATCGAATCTCGTATTTTTCGTTGATATTAATTGCTTTAATATGTTTTTAACATCTTATAGTGTATGCAGTGGCTAAGCGGCAGAACCATAATATTGAGCATTATGTTTTTCAATCTTAATTTATTAGACACCACAAACAACAGATTAAATGAATATAATATAAATAACAAAATTAATGTAAAGTACAATTAATTTTGTCAGTCTAATAATATTATATGACATAATAATATCTCAAGTACCATTATCATATGAAGAAAAGAGTATCATTGTGAATACAAAATTAATGAAAAAAATACTGTTTCCTATATAAAGTAGAATTTTAGATATGTCTTTATTTTAATTACACTTAGGATTAATAATTACTTAATTTCAGCATATTTTAATTTGTACTAGTCGAAATAGAGGCACGTTGTATCAACGTGTTGTAAAAAAAAACAGAATACATAATTAAGTAAATAAAAGTGTTTTATTTCTTATGATTCGCTATTTCACTTGATATTTATCAGCTCCTATCACGGATGTTTAAAATTAAGTATAAATAACCGAAACTATCGATAACCCAAAAAAAAATTATTTGAAGCAGGTCTTTTCAGATATCCGTATACGCATCCCAATTACCATTTCCATGACCTCCATGGTTCCTATATATGTTCTTTCATAAGAGTTAAGTTAGTAAATGACAAGATCAGCCAGTCAATGTCCAAAACAATAATATAATGATAAAAAGATTCAAAGCCAATTTTATTGGCAGAATCAAAAGTAATATAATAAATCTATGATCTTGATAACTTTCGCTTTTTATTCATCGGTTAAGATCAGTGATCCTAGAATATATTGTCAAATATCTACTTTTATTTGTTTATAAATTGGATTTAAGCGACGACGGTACTTGTTTTCCTATATTTATTTTATTAATCCCTAATAAGTTTTAAACCCTAATCGAACATAACACAATGCAAGAGACATGACTGATTTTAGTATAATTTATCAGAGCTTCAGTTTCTGCGACGCTGAAAGTTTTGCCACCCTTTGCTAATATATTATGACAGGCGTTATAAATAGAGTAAAATGGACACATTGTGTAACTATCATTGATTCATCGTTCATTAATTTTTTTGACGCTAAGTCGTAAAATTTGTTTGATGCCCGTCCATAACCCGATTCAGAAAAGTTGTATTATGCAAGTGAATACACTTTAAATTTGTGTATATTTCATCTAGTGAAAATACTTGCTTCGGTTTTTATTATATGAACTTTCACTTTATGAAATATACACAAATTAAAGGTGTATTCACTTGCATAATACAATTTTTCTGAATCGGGTAATGGACGGGCATCAAACAAATTTTACGACTTAGCGTCAAATAATTTAATGAACAATGAATCAATGATAGCTACACAATGTGTCCATTTAACTCTATTTATAACGCCTGTCATAATATATTAGCAAAGAGAAGCAAAACTTCAGCATATTTACAGCACCACAACAAACCAAGCTAGTTTTATGGGTGTAATATTGTGTTAAAGTTTTCTGTTTATATTCAAATAAATTAAAAAAAAACAGCTACTCTATGTTCTGTGCTTCTACTAAACAGCAAATGTTAGTCTATGCATTACTAGATTGCGTTATGCGCCAATGAATCGCGCTAAAACTCTTGAAAGGCACGGGTAGCTGTTTTAGAACATTTTTAATAATGCCTTGAATATACAGGTAGGGCTAAGGCCAACCTAGAATGTTCTAGGTTCTAAAATAGATCATTCTAGATTTGGTATCGGCCCCTTTAAATACGCGGTGGACTACCTATCCCGGCATTCTTTAGTGAACAAGAGATCTGAAAGCAAGATCTAGTGCGGTTAATGATCTAGGTTTTGTGAAGTGTTATTAGTGACGTGAAATAGTGAAGTTGAAGTGTGAATTTTGTAGTTGAATGGATTATTTTTGTAATTTAATGTATTAAATAAAGAGTTGGGCTGTGAACTTTATTGGCGTCATTTTTATATTCGATCAATTTTTCATTTACTTTGAAATAGCATTATACTGAAAAATATTCTTTATTAAAAATGTAAAGTAAACAAAACTCTCAGGGATTAGTCGTCCAAAGATAGCCTTTAATGAAAGCACCTTCCTATGAAAATTACCGAAACTTTTTCTAGTTAAAATTATTGGGTATTAAATTATTCCAATAAAAAAATATTTATTATTAGTTGTTCCCGCAATTTCGTCTTTCGGGAACATATATTTGGAGAGTTCTTTCTATCCTATGGATGGAATCGAATCGAATAGGATCACTGGGCCATAACCCACTAAATAGACCCAGTGCGAATCGGTGGGTATTAACAACTCCTAATGCAGCAGAGACCAAAGGCTTAATTATCATTTCGAAGCACGGAGGAGCTCAAGATAACAATCAAATTTTTCTATCAAATGTTAGGGTTGTCTAGAAGAAATCGCTGGTTATCTTTTTTCCGCAGGTGAAGTATTTATGCATGTTCATGTAATTTTCTTGTTGTGTAATAAAGACTTTCTTACTTAACGGCATCGTAAACCGAATGCGCTAACCCACTACGTCAGAGGACCTCTTATAATCTACACTATAATATTATAAAGAGGAAAGATTTGATTGTTTTTTGCACCGAAACGGTTCCGAAACCACTAGACCAATTTTATTTTTTTTTTCATCTACGGAAACCTACATCATACACGGGTCTTTTTGACAGTTAGTTTATTATATAGTGTGACGATTTATTTGCGGTACCCCTGTGGGATGCAGGCAGGGTGAAGGCAACACCGGTTGGCGATAATCGAAACTATTTACTTGTTCTCTATACTGCAAAGTCCGAACTTTTTAAGAGCTCGAGCGCATTTCAACAAGATGAAATTAACGCGCGCATCAATGAGACAGGGACAGAGAATGGCGCATTGCGCGTCAAAATAATTTTTTTCTCCTCAGAGACCAAATAGATTTCATTTTTATTAGTATTAAATGAAACGTAAATTTATGTCAAATCATTCAAACATTAGTTATTTTTTACTTAAACTGAAATCAGAGTGAAACTGAAGTTCTTTGAATAGTTTAATCGTGTCTTAGTAAGACAAAGAAAAGAGGTCTTTATAATAATCAAAACACTATTGCTTACTTTAAGAAAGAAGAAATCGAAGTAGACTGTCAAATAAAAAGTAAACAAAAATATATATATATATTACAAGAAATACTACAAAATAAAATTATAACTGTAAGTAATATAGTTAAAAAAGTTTAGTATTTCGAATTCGAATCTTTGACATTGCATTAAGTAAGAACTATTAATAGCTAATAATATTAGTATTCCAACTTTTGAGAGTCTTGTTTTATTAAATTCTTGATTATTTGTTAGGAATATCTGCATAAGTTAAGATTTTTTCTCAAATAATTTTTTATTTCTCTCGAAGTCTTGACATTAGATGTATATCGTTGATGTCTTTTGTAGGCGTCAGTAACAAGCGTCGAGAAAAATTCATGATTATAAAATAGCTCTTCGTAACATAGTTTTCTCACTTATCTTGAGAAAGATAATTTTCTAATTATGTATAAGAATACATAATTAGAAAATTAGGATGAAAATATATAAAATAAATAAGTAAAGATGAATATACTTTTTATAAATAAGTAAAGATGAATATATATTTCAACTAAAGATTCAGAAAGATTCAATTCAGTTTTTCTCGTACATGTGAAACTAGTTTCGAAATGGCTTGAAATATACAGAGACTCTGAGACATTGGCTTCGAAGCTTTGGTATTACAATACTAGTTTAGTTTCTAAAGTAAATCATAATGAAACTAGTTGTGTGTCATTAGTTTCATTAAAAATATACGTATGACACAAAAGTACTCTACTGTCGTGCAACTAATGCATGCATTGTGAAACTGGACGTATAAGTACACGAAAATTGCTAGTTCCATTCTATGATTTACGGGTTATTAAGGCAAACTTCTATCTTACTTTAATTGAGAAGAAATGGACGACATTAAATATCACCGAATTTATAGTAAATGAAAAGGGTTGTTTATTTTTTATTTTAAATTTTACCCGTTGAGTATTATTTCAAACATTCATTATTTTAAACAATCTAATAAGGTTTTATATTAAATAAAACGACTGCTTTAAGATCTGATTGTTAAAATTTTATAAAATATCAATTGATCATTATATTTATTAAAGTCATGATATTAAATGGACGTAAATTATACGTATAAAAAATTGTTATATTGAAAATTCGTAAATCAAAATTATATACTTCGAAATTAAATACTCCGTTTATTATATGAAATAATCAATATAAATTATGTTATTCGAATATATAGGTTGTTAATTTTATTTATAATGGTGTACATTACACACACTCCACTGTTAGTAATAGGTAAAATGAATGAACAGTAATTCATGTAGAAAGTTAAGTTTTTTATATAATATAATATTTTTGTAAAATGGCTTTAGTTTGATGATATCGAAAATGTCATGCCGACTTGGGCTTACATTTAAACTTAGTTTAAATGTAGCTATTTTTATATAAAATTAAATAGGTACTTAATGCTTGCAGGCAATAAGTATTTTTATATTATGAATAGTCCAAATAAGACCGTAAACGAAATAAATAGCGAAGTTGCCAGAAAATTCGTGAACATGTAAAACTTTTCAAAGAGTTATTGTGAACCAAATATAATTTATTATTTTAGCTTATTATTAACGTAAGTTACGTTATCAGGAACAATAATCATTTAAAAATCATTAATATCTAAAGAACTTTTGATTCATATTTTTATTTCGTCTTGAAATAAACTTTAACAAGGTTGACATAAAGGTCGTAGTTTCGTTGATATCCAAAAAAAACTAATCATGAATTTTTTAAGAGAATTAAAATTTTATTAACTTTATGATAAAGTTTTTTATAACACTCGTATGCCTTTGGTGATGGCACCGTCGAAATGGTAAAACTTTTAGATATCAGAATCAATAATATGTCTTATCGTATTAGTAATGAGGTGTTGTTTCGTTTGTGTGGTTAGCGGATATGGTTTTAACGTATAGTGGTAAAGTTTACTTTCTCTGTTGGATTTCGTTCGGAATACCCCGATGTGCCGTGTGGCCGAGCGGCTTCTTCTACCATCGATGCGGACAAAGATTATGCACTGGTGCAGATAGTAAAAGATGTTTAATGTATATATTAGCGAAAAAAAATATAATGAACTTTATTCATTAATGTTTCCCTTTGCATTAAAAGACAATATAAAAAAGTAAAACCTATTATAAATTCAAACAAACATCTTTTTCCTTTTATAATAAAAAATATAATGTCTATTATTTTTTGAAATGATCTTCTATAGCTCTAAATACAGAGAGCTCTCTATAGAACAATCAACTAAGCTATCAGGTTATATAAAACTTTATCTCCAGTCGACTTTAACCCTAAACGTGTAACTGGTAGAAATCAGAATCGAATGCAAAATAATATATTTGTGTAATGATAAAGTACCATTCTGTAATCTTAGACGTTTTTCAATATTTATAACTAGTGATCACTCCGATTTTGCATATAATTTACATAATTGTAAGCTTACAGTCATGACACTAATATGATTTTGCCTATATCCTTAACGATGTTTGTTATACTTCGACCAATTTACACAAAATATTGAAGAGTTATACAGTCAAATATTCCTCATGGATTATTCTGTCTATCACCTACTTCTTTTAAAACCTTTCTTTATTATTGAGTTTATCATTTTTAAAAACATGTAGAGACAGACAAAAATATTGTTTAATATATATTTCTAAGTAATAGTTTTACAATCTCTCTCTTTATTTATTCATTTTTCCGTCTTAGGTACTACCTACATCAAAGGTGCCTATCGCATCAAACCATACGAAAAAGCATTTTTCCACAAACGTGTTCTTTGTAGAGTCGACGCTCGCCGACCGTAAACAATCGCGAGCAGTCCGCACTCGTCCCCCGCGAGCGCCGCGCGTCACGCACCGCGAGCAATCCGCAACTGACAGCTGTTCAAACGCAGCTCACTAAAACAAAACCAGAAATTTAAAAAAAGACAAGGTTCGTCCGTGTTCGATTTTCAAATTACCAAGTGACAAATCATACGGTATAATAAAATCCGTTAGCGCGTGTGTAAAGTGGCATTGTGTTCTGTGAGATCGGATGGACCGTTCATGGAAATGTTAATACAGTTGCACAGATTATGTTAGAAAAAGAAAAGTATATTCGCACAGGTTCCACGAAAGAGGTTTGAATGAGACCCTATAGGGTTAGTGAACTTTCCGACTGCGAACGTTTTGATTTATCTGAAATACTGAATGATAAAGTTTCTGAAGAAGATAATAAATTAATTAGTATATAATATTATGGTTTTAATAAAATATAATATAAAAGTAATTTAATGCATAATTTATGACCCCAATTTTAACGCTTATCAATCAAACAAAATGACACAGACACAATAATAAAACTATATTTAAATAACTTTATGAACATCTATTCGTTATGCTATGTTATCTATCAAGGAAATAAACGCAGACTCATGTTTTAAGTCGTAATTTTAAAATGCCATACTTGTTTCTCGCCTGTTCTTCTCAGTACAAGGTCTCCTTACTTACGAACGTGACACACAAAAATTGTGTAATGTTTCTTCGTTTTTTTATTATTTTATGTCAATTCATTATTTACTTTTAAATGGAGAACTGTTTAAAGAAAACGTAGAGACTGTAACTTTAAAAACGAAAAATAATTCTATGATGATGTTCGAATTTTAAAAGTTGAAATTGCGTTTTTTATTAAAACCGGTTGCTTGTCTATATGTTTAAATACCCATGGACATAGTGTAATCTAACAATAATACATTTAAAATAACTTTTTGTTAAGAAAATCTATGTATAGATACAAAATTGAATGCATGCAGATACGAATAGTATTAATATTTCAACAATTATATCTCGTAATTCCCACGATTAGTTGATATATGCTTATTCGGATCGATTATATTCAGGTGGTATTTATTTCCGTATTTATATATAGGATGGATAGAATACGTATGTCGTATTATACATATATATTTACATTATAGAAGATCTCTAAGAAATTGGTTGTGTTTATTGCTTCAATATAAGCGGGCATGCTATGACGACTTTAAAATTTAATGAACATTAAGCCTGAGCTATTAATTTTAGGAACACCTACCATTTTAGGCATTTTAAGTATTTGGTATATGGAATGATTTTCAATTGCAATTAAAGTTATCTTTAATAGTATTACATTAAAACTGCATATGGTTGACAGTTTAGAAAAAGTTCTTTGGGGGTTGCGTACTGCGTTCAATTCACCAGAATATTCAATATCAACTTCAACTTGGATGGTTTAGATGTAGAAAGTTAAACGCTTCTTAAATACTCAACAAATTATATAATTAAAAGACCAAGGAAAATTCTTTTCCTGCGTTGTTACACACTCTCTGAAAATATATAATCATTGTCCACCGGTGCCATAAACGATATGAAAACTATAAATAGAATAATTTCTAGATACATAAATTTCGCTACAGTTCGTCTATATCAAGAATCGAAAGAGCTAAAGAAATGGAAAGACCTAGTGTTATGACTATCATTTATTTTGCAATTATCGAAAAAAAGAGTTAAATATTTCAATTTATTATGCTTACTATCAAAATTTTTTTATTATACGTATAGTACTTGTATGTTTTACTCTCGCAACCCTTTTTAATCGAATCTACAGCTTTCCACTAACAGATTTGTCTGTATGGTTTATGTGAACCTCTACCCATTAGAACAATCTCTCATATTGCGAAAGGTTCGAGTCCCATCGCAGGCACCTGGGACTGGTGAATTGTTATTAAAGATATCTAAGGTGCCAAGTTTCAGCTCTATTCATTTTTTATTAATAGTCCGCCATGGCTTTACCCGAGTACTATTAACATATAAATCCCTAATGTTTTTAATAATATTCTATATTCGTAAAAATCAAATAGTTTTGGAACCTTTTCAGTGAAAACAAACAATGGAATCTTTGCTCTTTATAATATTGGTATAGACAATAAACATTATTTGGAATGGTAAATTATATTATTTAAAAAAATCAAGTAAACAGCTAAAAAAATAACTTGGTTTGTAATGTCTTAGACAACGACAATCAACACTTTAAAATAAAATGTTTGTACTTTTAGTCATTAGCAAATCAATCTAAATTCATCGAAAGTAATCGTTAGAAGACACGTGTACTACGCCCATTCTACTTATACATAAAATCAAAAAAGATAAGAACCTCTACACTAGATGTTAGGAACAAACCAGTCTTGAATTAATTTTCTTTAATAAAAAAGAAAATTATTTTTAAACTTGAAGAGATTTTGAATTTGGAACCAGCCATTTTCATTGAAAAACTGCACCTTTAGGCCTTGCGTAATAAATTAACACTGTAATAAGAATTTTCTTCTCTGCCATAAAGTTCATTTTCGTTTGCTTTTACTGCTATACCATGCAAGAGTACAGCAAATAGTGTATTGAGAGCAGTACCAAGTGACAGGTTCTCTGCAAATAGTATTGTGTAATGGAGCGGAATGCGACTCGTATACCATAAAGAAAGTAATGAGAACAGACCCTTACTGATATAAGAAGGTTCATAACAAATCTATGTTAATATACTGGTAAATGTGATGGTAATAGTATCTAAAGGTATTATACAGGGTGCAAATGGTGTGTGAAATAGACGAGGCGAATATAATAGCGTACGTTGTTTTTAACACAAATTTAAAAATAGAAAACAACAAATGAAAATAAAGAAATTTCAGATTGGTAAATTCAAAAACTCGGGTTATGCGTCCTGTGTCCGAAGAGATACTGAGACGAGAAGATGGCGCTCCCATGTTTTAAAAATTACTAAAACAAAAAGAGAATGTATAGAAATATAAGCTAAAAAATTCAATCAAATTTCAAAGGTAAATAAGCAAACAACTGTTTTAATTGATTATAATCAAAATAATTACCGTCTATTATAAAACGAAATCTAACTTTATTATTGCATCGAAACTATTATCCGACATTGTTTATTTGCTTACAGCGGCCAATGGTTTCACACAAATACTATATGAAATTAATGCTTAAAAAATATGGCACTATTAAAATTGGCTTTAAGTGGCTCTCATGTCTATATAAAAAGAAAAAACAAAAAGCAAATAGTTACTTTAGCATTAATGTAAAAAAATATATATTTTATTACTTAATAAAATGTTCGTCTTATAAAGATGCTTAAAATTTTTGTTACAAAATAAAATCACTCTCGACTCACACCCACACTTAGTAGTTTCTACAGCATCATATGTCATTTGAGACGCCTTAACAGCCGTCAAAATGTCAAAATAAGCCACCTGTTAGGTATTCTAGACGATCACACGATGTTTCATTGAGAACAAAGTAAAAGTAGTTCGAAACCAACCCACAAGGAACCCACGCATGCCGCATAATTTTAATGTATACCATTGACCAATACTGGCCAAAGCGTTCACCTACATACGCTAAAAACTTCTATCTTAGCATTAAAACAAATATCAACCTTAACACCTTCGTTAAAGAGTCAATTTAAATATTTTCGTTGATATATAAAACTTTTTTCTTCATTCATAAGTGATTCAAATGCAATAAAAATCCTTATTTAAATATTGCGAAGTCGATCATGTCCATCCCTGGAATTTCGTTCTTATGTAAATTATCTACGTCTATTTTGATATAATCTTTTCTGGTATTCTATATATTTGGATTGTTAAGTTGCCGATAATTTCGTAAAACAACTTTTGTGTGTCCAAATGAGGCGTTTAATAATATTTTAATCTTCTGACAATGATGTCATGTTTACCATTTATTGTTTGTAAAACCATTTAATTCTGTAGGCTCGTGAAGTCAATTTATGGTGTGTCTATCGTCATAGGGCTCATAATAAACAAATTCATCATATAAAATATCTGAGGGTCTCTAAATGTCCCCTGTGAGCAATTTTAAGATGGAATTCCAATATTCCTTAGTAGGGATTGTATGCCATGTCCGGTTACTTTCCTCTATTTTTATAAGATTTTCTAAATAGTATTTGTGATAGTTTACATTAAACAAATGAAATTGGGATTCTTATGTCTGTAATAAATACGTTTTATAGAGAAAGCGCACACTGTCCAGTGCGCATTGTCATTGCAACGCGGATATCAAGCTATTTGTCTGCGCACACGCATAGGTACTTTCAACAAAGATTTATCTGCAACTGGCACTTGTTTGAAATACCTATTTGTATGAAAGCCATTGTACATCGATTGGTTATCTTACAGTTCGGTCATGACTGCAAAATAGATATTTAATAGAGTACAGAACATTCGCGATTGCTTTACGGATTGATTTGGTCTATTTCTAAGTGTTTTTTTTTTTTGTTAAGACTTATTCAGAAACTAATTTCAGTATTCCATTTAAAGTATAAATATTACATATTTAGTTACTTTAATATTTTTAGCCAACTGAAACTGATAAAATCTACAATTTAAACATGGAGTGACCCAGAAGCTGAAAGAGGTCAAACTCTCCTTTCACGATAAAACTGACTCACCTTTCACGATAAAACTGATTACGTGTATGATGTCAATGGGGAATGATGTCAGAAGTCATAAAAGCCGCGAGCATATTTGTAAAGCGCTATGAATGTCAAGAATGAGAAACTCGCATAAAGACCATTTCTTGTTCTCTCTGCCTGTACCAGTGTAGCCGAATATACAACTTCCATTCCATACGCCAATAAGGCTCTTTAAAATTAAATTGAGTGGTATAGGGCAGAGTGAATATTGCTGTACGCTAAAATAGTTCAATTATACGAATGTAAATTAAAAAATGAAATCAATATTTGCATTCTAAATGATAAATTAGAAGATCCTGTAGAGCAGTATTATATACATTTATTATGTCAATCCATATATACTAAAGCCACGATTATGCAAGTAGACTAATTCAATCAATAACTGTATTACAATAATTAAAACTTCGGTATAATACCATAATTGTAGAGATGAATTGATTGAATTGAATAAAGTTGTATGACTAGAAATCAGATTTTAAATAATACAACCTGCCAACAAAATCATGCGTTCATATAATCCTCCGTGACCGAATGACTCATTCGTCTAAGGTATCGCCCTTCTTAGGTCTCGGGTTTGATTCCGCAGGCCGGACGCGTAACTACATAGTCTTCGTTTTGTTTAACATTGGATTCAATCAAAATGCACTCGACGTATCGCCAGTTATAAGGGGTTTCTTACCTAAAGGATAAAAACGGGACACTATTATTAAGATGCCACTGTCCGTTCGTAGCTAGACAGTTGAAATTTCCACAGATGCCGCTGTGACTACAAATACTAAAAACTAAATATAATAAATATTTGAAGGAGCTTCCATACAACAAAGGTTACTTATCCTATAATTCGTGTACTACAATTTAATTGAATTATGTTTTAATTTCAATAATTAGGCTACCACTAGTAATATATCTTAGTAAAATACAATATCTCTATTACAAAACACATAGAGATCTAATGATAAAATTACCGGACGTCTACACATGATACTATGCTAATAAAGTTTCTAACTTAAATTTAATGGCTTAGATGCAATTAAAAAATTATTTATTTGTTTGAAAAGTAAATAATAAATGGAAAGAAATGTACTGTACAACCGTTACTGAATTTAAATAGTAGGCAAGAAATATTATACAGTAATAGAAAAAAGAAATAGTTTTATCATGATAATGCAGTGTGACATAAAAGAATTTAACCTTAAAACGCTTCTACTTATAGCAACAAAAGATATTCATTCTTTTTGACGATAAATATGAATACAAAAACAAAACTTTATTGTTACATGAAATATACATGCTCTTTTAGTTGTGGGACAAACTATGTACAGAACGTGGATCATCCCCTTTACAACCGAAATGAAAACAAACGTGAGTAAACAAAAAAAAACTTTTAAATAAACAAGAGTGACAGACAAAGAAAATCTCATTTGATGACTAACTTTGAAGTAAAGAAACTCTGTTTTGAAATTTTTTGTTGTTTCAGCAACCATCATAATAAAATTAGATTGCTCATATATAATTTTTAGAAGTGGGAATGCATATTATAGAGTCAACGCACCATGTTGTCTGTGTCATATTCATATAAATAAGCTTTTATTTGAGACGAATCAATACTGATAATATTACCCTCAATTAACATATATTTGCCACATAGCCGAGGAACTTGAAAATATAACCTCAATAAAATAGCACTATTTCTACCTGTGTATATAGTAAGCTTGGTAACCGTTGAAAGTGGACTAGATATGTAATAAGCTTGAGCCTTCATTACATTGGCACGTTCCAATAGTTGCCTCTGTCTGCGAGTGTTCCAATTTATAAGAGTTTATTCTTTTTTGAATACTATCGATTGTAATTTTTTGCTTTTGTGTTTAATATGAAAAAAAAAGTAATTAATTGTTTCAATTATTTTAAAAAGAAGTATGTAATGTATTACTATTGCTTATATTTTAATTGATCATCTGTATAAACAAACAATCTATTTAAAAATAAGCAATTGTTATAGTAGAAACTATTATAAAAAAATGCCTAAATATTAAACAAACATCATAACTGTAATTCATTTAATAGTTTAAACATATTATTGAAAGATCCAAGTAAATAAATTGTTATTATCTGATACTGTTGTAATTATTCTACAGCGGCTTTCTCTTTGTAATTGGACACTTAAGCCAAATTTAACTTTTTTTAAAGCTCGCAGCTCGCAGCTTTGCTTTGCTTTTTTTTTAAAGCAGTCTTAAATAAACGCTTCTCCCGGTATATATGTTAAGTTTAATTTCAAAAATTTATCGTTGATGTTAGAATTATAAATTATATAATACTATTACTTCTCTCGTTAAAGAAGCGGAATTGTCAAATCCCAACTACAGTAATAATGATGCGATGCATTTTTAATGTATTTAATGTCATCTCTTTATTTTGAACTTTAAACACATTTTTAAGCATATTATATTGTTAATAAAATGTAATTCATTTTATAATTCATGACAATAACTTTAAAAACAAATTTAAATAGTTTCATAATGTTAATATGTCCTACATCTTGGGCCATACACTAACGAATGTCGCTTTACGCTTACAACCATCTTTTCTTTGTTAAAACACAACCTGTGCATGATAGGCAATAGAGACCAGTATTTTAAACGATATTAACAGTTGTCTCTTGTTCCTCGATGAATATGTGCAAATTATATAGTGCAGTAATAATTTTAAGCACTATAAAAAGGTCTGATATGAAAATAGTAAATAATATGTGAAAATAAATATGTATATAATTTTCAAATACTCATGTTCATATTCGAAGCATTAAAATAGAAGAAGTAATTTATAATACAATAAATACTAAATTGAAAACACTTTATTTATTTCGATTATTTTTATACAATGGCATTTTATTCAAAATCGATTAAAAGTAATATTTTATTATTTATGAGTATATCAATCTTATCCCCTATAAGGTACCTGTTAATTATAAATTCTAAAGTGAGTGAGTCATCCATCCTCACAAACTTTCGAATTACTTTTCGAATTATACTTTTTATGAAAAATTTTTGAACATATTTAGATAAAATTTAATAAACGCATAATTCTAGATCACATAGACTACTCTAATGAATATATAGGCTTTCTCTCCCTTAAAAGGCTCTAGGGATAAATATACTGTCAACTCATTACGTAAACCACTCAAGTAAATGCGGTCATAATATTGTAGAGTAACTTATTAAAGCAAATTGACAAAATGTTTGATTTTACAATTCTTTTTATAATCCTAGCGGAATAAGAAGCACTCTACCAAACTAATTGAGTTGAACAAAACGACAATCACCAAAAAGTGGAATAATATTAACTTTAATTTAATCTTAATATAAGTATTTTGTATTCGCTTCTTCCTTTGGTCATAGTGTTTCGTCGTTAATGGTTTCACGACAAAACGCTATGACCAAAGGAAGTTCCTTTAACGTCCCCTATCAGAGGGTGTTTTTAATCAATACTGTTGCGTGAGCCGGACATTTGAGTCATTCTTCTTTTCAATGTTAACTTACTAGACGATTTTCATACATAAAAATATTGTTTCGAGATATTTAACTAAATTTTTTACATTTACTCTCAAAAAACATTGTAGGATTTTCATTGTAGGAATTCTATTTAAAGAAATAGTCAAATTGGTCCAATTGTTCACATTTTTAGGGATCCGTACCTCGAAAGAAAGAAGGAACCCTTATAGGATCACTTTGTTATCCTTACGTTTGTCAAGAGCCTTTTAATTAGGACAGCAACACGTGGAGGTTTGAAACTGAGGTAACAAAGAATAATTGCAAAACAATAACAATTCTAATTCTAAGCTTTAGAATTTGCCTTTAAAATCACCAGTCACTACTACATAATTTTTAAATTTATTTTGGTAACGCGTTAACATTTATATAAAATATTATCGAAGCTTTAATTAGCAAATTTGAAATTTCATTTTTGGCATTTTAAATATTTCACACATTTAATGTTACAGGCATTTAAAAAAGAAGGCATATAAATTTATGCAATTATATTATTTTAATGACAAAACATGCGCACTTTAACTTTTTAGTGACAACTTTATCTACTTTTAGTTGAATTCCAAACGCATCTGAAATTGAGTTGATATAAATTATAACTGGATTAATTAAAAACAATAATATTCATTTAACTGCTAATTATAATTATAAGTTAAGCTTTATATTTCTACCATATAGAGCGGACTTCCTAACTTAGGGGTTAATAATTTACTATGTCGGGATAATAAAAAACAAAATTTTATAAAACAATAATAAAACCGTCTGATGTGGAACATAAAACGCGGAGTTGGATGGTGGATTATCGGTCCCCCTATGGATGGAATCAAATCGAACGGGCCATGACACACCACGCCAGTCCAGTGCATATTGGTGGGTGTTAGCGACAAACGGCTTAACGTGCCTTCCGAAGTACGGAGTAGCTTGAGATATTATTATATATCAATATAGATTATACGTAGTCATTCATGTATCCGAGCGACAGATTCAAATGGGGTCTAGCCGAAAATCAGCGTGGGTCTCTTTTTGCTTTTAAGAAGCAAAAGAGATTGAAATATGCTGAGCTAGACACCTTTTTGGTGCAACTGTGGGACACGCATCGCTTTAATACCTACTCAAATGTTATTATTTTCTTTATTAGTTTAGTTCTTTATTAGTTGTCTGTAAGTGTTCTATTGAATACTCCTATCCTCAGGTTGGTGGATAATATCAGTTTTCCTAATAGGTTACAGGGATAACACTATAATCAAGTACCACTTTTATGAGACGATAAGTTCTCCTCCCGTATAAACAGTAAAAGTCGCTTGACTTTACATGAATATCTCACATTTTCAGGAGAATATAGTAACAACTCACTATTTGAAGAAAAAAAAATTAGGAACCACTAAAATAGAGGTACTACAATCGTTCACAAACTAACCTTGTCGTGAATAACAATAAAACTGATTACAGAACTCAGTGAAGTGTTACCAGTGATCAGTGAAGTGAAATAAGTGTACTTGAACTATGGAGTGATTGAAGGCACGATGTACCGGCCGAATTTCTACGAGAGCACCTGTTTTAGGTGCAACGAGATTGTGTATCAGGTGGACAGAGTTGGACCACTGAAAGACTTCACATTCTTTCATAGTGGATGCTTTAAGTGTGCTGTTTGTGGCACCAAATTGACGTTAAAGGTGAGTTTTCATTATTTCAACACAAAACTACTTAGTGACTATGAAGGTTTATTATTTTTTTTGTTTTTTTTATGAAATATAAACTCTTTGTCGAGCCAATTTATTTTTCTTTTTAGTGTCATAATAAAACATGTCATTGTCACGAAATCAATTGCCGTTGATTTGTCTCACTGAAACTTGAGAACGGTTGGGCCTATTTAGCTGATTTTGGTTTTGAAACGATTGTCGTAGTCCAGGGGAACTTTAAACGGTGAGTGCTGATACGAAATACACCGGGTCATCTAGTATAAAATAGTCTTTAAAAACTTGTTTTAATATAGTTTTCGTTGACTTTTGTGACGTCATCACTAAACATTCACTGAAATTATTAAGTCATTGATTTTTTGCGCTAAGTTGAAAAATATAATGTTAATTGAAATAATATTATTTTTAGCATACCTAAAATAAAATGTTCTTAAAACATGTTAGAGGTTTTTAAAACATTTTTTTTTAATTTATTTAATTTGGCATCAAACAGTCATCATATATGTTTACAGTGATAAAATTATAAACAATAATACGGAAAAAACTTACTATGCCCAAAATTAAGATGATAGTACTCCTACGCCCGCATAAAAATGGGAAAATTTAATCAGATTTATGTTTACGAATTAAGGTATAAAATCGCTGTTTCATTTTTGTTTTCTTTTTTCTTTATTTCAAATTTTTGTTATATAAATGATAATTTTCAAGTTCTTATTAGTATTCTGAATTAACATCGGGACCACGCACGAAGCCGCTGCTGTAAAGCTAGTTTTATATATACCCAGTATTATTAAATACAAGAAACTCGTAACTTGTATCTGTTTCCGTAACTGATACTTACAACGACACTTTAACTTTTCATAAATATTTAAATTTATACCGTTAGCTTATCATTTAAAGAAACTCACGAACTTTCTGCCATTTATGTTTGTACAATTACAAAAAAAAAACTTAAAAGCCACAGCCAATTTTCAATAAAAACTCAACCTTTAACTGTATTTTTGAATAGTGTTTGTGTCTGACAAAAACAGGTTCTATGTCACAGACGTTTGGTTAAAAGTCTTTATACAGTTTAGAACGGATCTTAATCGGGAATATAAGGTTCCGTATTGACAACCGGTTTTAATGTCGGCATCTCTGAGGTCGGCTTCAGACCCCAGTTTACTAATAAAAAGGAACTTTTAAGTTTCCCTGACCTGGGTGTTGTGGCACCTTCTTTGCTTCAAATTTTCATAGCACAAGCACTAAACTACATAGCTTGAGATGTAAGCAATTAACGTGATATCTTATTTTATTTTTCATTTCTAGATGACCGGTGTACATAGTAACCCTTCCTGGACTAATAGAATAGATATTCTCAAAATATTCGTTTGGTATTCGGTATTCGGCGTATCCGGTATCTTTTCACTATTTGTATTCGGCCGAATTATTCGGTTTTGATGCCGAATATATTATTTTCATTTTCCTGGCTACAGGAGTTACAGAACACAGTAAAGAACAATATGAAAAAACTTCTCATGTATGATTTATGTCAAAAAATATGTAAAAGAAAGCATATGAAGAAAGTGTTAAATAAAGCGAATAAAATAAAACAATTAATTTTTAAACTTTAAATCAACATTTTTATAGATCTCAATAAAATCCACATTTTTTTAATTTATTTTTAAACCTAATGACGCGGCAAAACATTGAAATTGTAAGCCGAATAATTCGGCCGAATATCCGTTTTATTTACTTTATTGGTAAAGTTTTTACCGAATATTATTTGGTAGTAGGTGAAACCACTATTCGGCGCAACTCTACTACAGACATTTCAAAACCAAAATCAGCCAAATGGCCCGGCCGTTCTCGATTTTTAGGGAGACGAACAGTAATCGATTTTTATATATATACAAAATAATTTGATATAAAAGCAATTTTATGGATAACAACGTCTTTGCTTCAATAAACAAATGTTATGCGGAAATTATTTATTTTATCGTGCGCAAATCTCGAATTTTATTAAACATTGAAAACTTTAAGCCAGTCAAATCAAAACCAATCGTTTACGATGTAAATATATAGGAACCGTATGGTAGGAAGCACATTCCAACCGGTATCTAGTCAACATGGGTCGATATTAAATAGTTTAAAATTAATAACACATAGTCTCATATCAATATAAAAAGTGTATTGGTACCATACATAGGTTTCTAAGAAACCCTAAAAACAAGACGCTGTCACAGCAAGGTCGTCACAAATGCCACGACATGAAGACACCGAGCGCAAGGTTGCCCCGACTGGTCTTAGAACAGGAAATGTGGAACAGTGATAATTAATAACAAATATCCACTGTATCGTACGTTTGTCGAGATCTGCGAATAATGATTAGAGCTGCATGTTTTTTAATATCATCAATACGAGCTGTTAAACAAACAAAATTTACAAGAATATAATATTTCAATAATTTATAGATACAACGTTTAAAACCTTGATTAGAGAGGGATAGATATATACTAACTAGACTGTGAGGTCAAAATGTAGTGATCCGTAAAACGCACAGGAGTGGCAAGGACCGAAAGTTTCCGTATTTCAACCGAATAGTATTATTTTATAAGTCAATAATTACTAAATAAAAAAATCGTAGTAATATATTTCCTATTTATATTGATAAATAAGTATAATAGATGTAATTTTACAGATTCTCTATTTTATTTATGTTAGTGGTTTTACTTTTATTACAGATTATTTTAATGTTAAACTAGTGATAAAATATTCCCTTCCTTTATTGATAAGGTTTTTTTTTGTGAGCAGGCTAAATTAAATAGGTAACTCTGAATGATTCCTGAATGTGTCTAAAAAAAGATTTAGTTTTCAATTTGTAAAATAATTTAGTTAACAGATGTAAACTTAATATATTTAACTATACAGGGGTATAATTATATATTTCTTGATTACACTTGGCTACGGGATAATCTTAAATCAAATAAAAAATAATACATAATTATTAAATGAATGCAACAAGTATAGGTTTCATCTCGTTCGTAATTTCTTTTATGACGTTTCGGACTTGATTATCTTAATTATTTTAGTGTTAATACTTACTTGATTATTTTAGTTTGGTGAGTGACACTACAAAAACGGCATCATTATCTATTAAATAGTTAAGTGAGTGACATTACAGAATCGACACCATTATCTATTAAATTTCAAAATGGTAAAAATCACCAACACAAATACGTGTAAGTATTGATAAAGTGCGAGATAATAAATCTTCGGTTCTCAATTCGAGAGTTTCGCGAGTAATCGCAAAGAGGTAATATGCATTCTGCACTATCGAACTGCAATTTTAAAATAACATTCGAAATTTAAAATATTTAACGGTGGGCGGAAGTTCACCTTGGAGGTATTTCGTTCACTCGAGAATTGGATCACTCGGCACCGTGCGGGGGAAGAAAGTAATTTCGTTATCCAACCTTTTAGAGTTATTTTAATTGTAATACTATTTGAAAAGCAAAAGAACCTTTGACCATACTATCTGAATTGCGTAGATAACTTTTTTGTATATAAATGCATTAATTTAAATTCACCTTGCGACTCATAATGATTAATTGTACATTAAACTTTGAATATAACATTTAAAATTGACTAAACATTTATTGATAAATTATAGTACTTATCTACATATTTTATTACGAAACCCGGAACACTTAATTTTTCAAGTATAATTTAATTTTTATCTTGTAAATAGTGACTCAACTGTTAAATAATTCATTACTATTAAATGCTAACAATCTGTCGTAACCAGACTGTTTACATATAAAACTTTATAAAAATGAAAACTCTGACTAACGACTTGATATTAAAAGCGACCATGACTCATACTTTTGTTTTTAATTGATAATTAAATTACTGAATGTATTCTCTAACTGTACAATGTGGTGTGGGACAAAATAACTGTGCCTTTTATATGGGCATCATTGTTAAATACTACCATGGTAAAATGGATTTAACAATGGGATGATTTAACTTTCATTCAAATAAAAGGTCTCTGAAATGGTGATTTTGTTTATATAATATTTGATTAACTTTTTTTCTAAATAATAACTAAAAAATATTTGATTAATTAAAACAGATACATTAACGGTGCTAAAAATAAACAAGATTTAGCGTCAGAGTAAATATTCGCTAAAATTGCAATTTTAGTATTAGTCGCAATTCTTATTATAAAGAGAATAAACAAACCTACTACCTTCTAGTAGTTAATGTTACTGCCGTAGAACCTCGTATTAGGTTAATATTTGCTAAGTATCTGTTTAATAATAAGAATTTGGACTAAGTGCAGTCTCAGCGTAAATTTACTCCAACGCTTGTTTATTAATAAGCCTGTGAATGTTTTTGAACATAAGTCGATGCCATTATTGCTAAGCTTGGTAGTCAATAGTATTTTTCGAGTCACTATCACAATCTAAGTACCTATACCAATAGCAAATAAATTCGTTCATCTTTTCTTACTAAAATTATACTTAAAGGTGAAAGTTTGTAGGTTTGGGTGTATATTAATTACTCCTTCACGCAAAAACTACTGAACAGATTTGATGAAGTTTGGTGTATGGATATTTGTAAGTCTAAGTAAACATATTAATTTCTTTTTACCCTACTAAACGTTTATATATAAAAGTATTAACTTTTCCATATGATAAATATCAATATACTATTAACTAGCTTTACGCCAGCGGCTTCGCCCGCGTGGTCTAGTATTATACATAAAAACCTTCCTTTTGAATCACCCTATCTATAAAAAAAAACCGCATCAAAATCCGTTGCGTAGTTTTAAAGATTTAGGCATACATAGGAATATAGGGACAGAGAAAGCGACTGTTTTATACAACGGGCAATTATAATATTTTAATTTCGCCAAAACTTCAAAACCAAACGTCCAATTTTAACCATTCAACAACCAAATATTATCTACATAAACTGTACTTAGTTTATAATTTAAGCAGCGTACTCAAAATAAGTAACTTTTCTGGTTGATTTTTTACGCCATATGTCCGAATATCTTACGGAACCCTATTTTTTCCAAAATAAAATATAGCCTATGTTACTCGTGGATCTAGCTTTTGAATGGTGATAGAATTTTTAAAATCGGTCCAGTATTTTTTGAGCCTATTCATTACAATTAAACAAACATACAAACAAAGTTTTTCTCTTTATAATATTAGTATAGAAGTATAGATAAATGCAAAAAAAATAAAATCGGTCCGGTAGTTTTTCCACCGCAAACAAATAAACGAACAAAAAAAAAATCCGAGATGTATGTAGTATGAATAAAATATACGCATATTATAATAGTAGAAAAAACACATCGACGACGTGAACGAATGAAAAATTACTTATAATTAGATTAAGTGATTTTTTTATATGTAAGTTTATATAAATATTTATTTGGTATCAACAACTTTTTCTGATATATAAAAATCAATAAAAAAGGTTGCTTTAATCAATTAAGCATTCAATCAGCGATATACATTCTCATTTCACAACTAGACTTTTAACTATATTATTTTGGTAACGGAAATAAATACATAGCTCACGTTCTCATTTCATTGAAATGTTATTAAGTCATTAGAACCTTCTAAAGCGCATCTGAGCATATCATAGTAATAGCAATAATAGTAACTTAATTTCGTTGGGTTGTTAACTGTAAAACCACCATAATCAGACACTTCAATTCCAATACGAAACTTTTACAAAACATGTCAATATAGGATCCCTGTAAAATGGTAGAATTTCTATTTTGTATATCGCAAGTAGTTCTCAAATTGTAGTCGAACCCGGAGGGCATAATTGAAACTACATTTATAAAGTATTAAGTATTTTTTCCTATGCAATGGTAACTGTAATGACTCTATATCTTATTCGCAATAGAACCGTGCTATTTCATACCTACAATTTGCAAATGAGTTAAGTATCCATAAAAAAAGTGTTGAAACTATTATAATATCTAGTTTCAATGTTTTATGAACAATATTAAGACACTGGTGCTCAATTATAACATTTTTAACGACATTTGAAAGAAATAAAAAAACATTCGCGAATCATTGCTAATAACGTGATCAGAAGGCGAAACGGAACGCAACCTTCGTATTATTTCAGCAATTTATAATTACAAATATAAAAGAAATAAAAATAATGGAGTTAAGAAGAAATAAAAAATTGTACTTGATAAAAAGAAATCAATTAAGACGCTACGTATAATGATGTCGTCCGATAAACACGTAGTGAAAATTTATTTACTGCACAATCAAAGCTGCATCAATATCGGACTTAGTGCCATTAGCCATTCTCTACCGGTCAACTGGAGAGATGTAAACAGAGCAATGTATCGCCTTACACGGAACTGAGTATTGACTCGATTGAGAATTGATTCTGATTAAAGAGTGCTGCTATTATATGGGGGGTTAGTAGCCATGCGATTTTATTATAAAACGAGGGCAAAATGTTTTATCAGGTTTAATCCATTACGCGGTCAAATAAAAAACAAGATATCTCAACTGGACGTTTTCTTAAATGAAGTACCAATTTTTAAATGTTAATATTTTCCTTTATAAACGATTGATTCAAGCTAAAAATCTAATCATAAAACGGATTTCAAGACTGTATTTACTGTAAGATAGGTTTTTTTAAAGAACTTCATCATTCACTAGCATATGTAGAAAAAATAAAATAAATACATGACAAGCAAACAATCTCCTTCTACTATTGCTTCTTACGTGAATCGTTAATATATCATTTAAAACAATTAGCATTTTAATGCAACACTATGAGAACCACTGACTCAGAATGAGCAACCAAATAAAAACTAAAATAAGACGATGTAATTGTGTTAACCGCTGTATAAGGCAGTTGCATTGTGTGCCTCCAAACATGACGAAGGTCAATGGCGTTGATTTTATCGATAAATGGATCGAAACCAACTAAGACAGTGACATTTTATTATGACATTTCATTTTTAGGATTATTGTATCGTTATAAACGTATAAATAAATATTACATTACTCAAATTCCAAATCTAGTAGCCTTTACTTGTATCACGGAAATCCGAAACAAAGAAAATATCACAACACCCACACCCGAGACAATAAGGAAAGATCATTTTCTACATTGAACCGATCGGGAAGCGAATCTTCAGGGACCTCTGGATGCCGAGATTTTTAACCCGATACGTGCGAGTCACTCGTAGGTTGTTCAAATATTATACAATTCCATAATTATTAATTAAATGCGAAAGTGTCTCTTTCTTTCTCTCTCTCCCTTTATGTGAAAGCACGAGAAGAAAAATTATCGATACATTTTTATATTATACTACAATACACATCGAGGCCAAAACATTCTTTCTCGACCTTTAATTATGCTAAAAAAAATACTATTCAAACTAAAGCAATATATATATATATATATTTTAATGTTTCGTCAATGCAATCTCACGGTAAGATGTTCATTCTTTACAGACATACTACAACAACCAACACTGGACCGAAGACAAGGAAGTGTATTGTTCCAGTCACGTGCCAAAAATTGGGCCAGGCCACCTCGACAATTCGTCAGTGGGCATCCGCAGCGCCCTCAACGTACCCAAGAGCAACAACTACGTTAACGAACAGATCAGAGGCTTAGCCAGGAACAGCCATGACAATGAAAGTAAGTTGTCATTACAGTCATCTGTCTATTAAATCTATTAATGTAACTGCAAGAGTACAGACTTTCCTTGTGGTTGGAATCAAATAAAAAGTACATAGATACTTGTTTATTATATTTTATCGCGCACTGCTCACGTATATTTTTGACAAATTATTACACGCTTAATTATATTTTATAATAAACATCAGATTATATAGTTTTGAGAGTAAAAAAAACTACATTATTAAGTCACAAACCCACAGTAGAAATCATTTTACTTCGTACCATATAAGAAATCCTAATGTGTTGTTTTATTAACACTGTAACTATTCAATTTCTAGCTATTAAAACAATCAAAATAATGTGAATCTAAATATCATCATCAGCCTATTACTGCTCCACTGCTGGGACACAAACCTGTCCTATTATATAGAATCAAATATGGAGAAGTATCCATAACCCACCACGCGAATCCAGTGCAAATTGATGGGTGTTAAAGTTTCCAGATGCAGCTGAAACCAACAGCTTTACGTGCGTTCCGAAACGCGGAAGAGCTCCAAGAAAACCGAACGCACTAACTTATTGCAAAACAATATGCGACCTCCTATTATAATAAAATGTTTTTTTTTATGATTCCATAAGAGTAGTCAAGCCAGTACAGGTCCTTTGCCGTTATCGTCACGTCTATCACCAGTCAGTGACATAAATAAAGACTCGGAATCCCGTCCGACTTCCGAAGAAGTCGTTGTCGCATACCATGACGATACTGTAACATGAACTCACGGCCTAACTGTTAATTTGAGGAAAGTCGGAAGATCGATGTTTTTATTATTATTAAGAAATAAGGGCAAACCTATATATTTATATGTCAAATAATAAAAAACCATTGTAAAGTTTATCACATTGAGTAAATAGTCTAGTTTTGAAATTTCACACGCAAAATAAAAGTGATTTCGACGTTAATTGTAGAAATGCATATAGAAATCAGGAGAGAAATAATTATTACTTCTTAATTATTTCTTAATAATACGAATCGACTTAAAATATTAATTTCTCTGGATATAGTTGGGAGGCTGGAGAATGACATAGGTGACTTTTTAGTCTTGTTTATAGTCCATTGGGCACAAAGACGAAGCAGCTAATCTTTAGTAAATATATAAAGATTACAGTAATACTATTCTTTATAAAAACCTCGAACTCAACGTCAAGAACAGCGTTGTCACAGCATAGAGGTTCAAACAGATAAAACCTACTTCATAGCGGTATGCTCGACGGTGATTTTTTTAACAGAATAGCATAATTGATTTCTAGAAGTACTAATACAATACATCGTTTAGTCAACGAATGGCAATCATTTTGTTATGTGATCGTCGACTTTATTCAATAAAGAAACAAGCAAATTTTTTGATTGGGAAACGGGTATACCACAAGTTGCGTAATACCATACCATATTCTCACGTGCCAGTTTGTACTCAACGCGTTATTTGAAACATATGTATACCGAACTTACAACATATTTTTGGAGCTGCAAGTCGACGTAAGATATGTCAAAAGAATGAGAAGTGACTTCATAATCTAATATCACTTTTTGATTTAGACTTCTCTGTATGAATTAAAATAGGGAAAAGAAAGCCCTTGCTGAGTCACTTGTCGGTTCTCCTCAGTACAAGGTCTCCCGCCGTAGATTTGCGAAGCGATGGCATAAGTTTTGACATTCACAAATACTTGTAGCCGCTATTATGCTTCTGTACTTTGCAGCCTAGACTGAATATGAGATTTATCTCGGTGACTCGGTGACGGCTTCTTTTTAGTGGGTAGACAGACCTCTGTGGGTCCATTGAGCGAATACCCGATGGGATTACACTCAGAGAGGTAAACCCAGCGGTGCCCATATGACTTCGTCCCTCGCCAGGCGGCGGGGTATGCTTAAAGCATTTTCTCTACAATCAAAAATACCGAATTAATGATATTAAATTTGAATATTCTATAGATTGATTGCGTACTGATTAGAGCATTCGTTATGCGATGTGTAGGTTCAGAGGGGGCATGCCAAATCGATCTTTCTCATTGCGCCCTCAATGTCATAAACAGGGACAGACGGTTTTTAATTCATTGTTTTGCAAATTATTACGATTTTTGAAAAAGTGCTTCATAAATCTCTCGGCTAAGAAGTGGCTTATATATTCATAAACATTATTTTAAAAAAGGGCTATAAGTAAAACAATAAATGGAGAAAAGGTGAATAATAGGGAGAGAGTTGTAATTTTTTTCTATAGAGAAAATTTTATAAATTAATTATTAACTGTGAAAGATTTCTTAGAAATATAATATAAGTGGTTTTCTCATTTATAATGATAGCTTATTTGAACGTTATTTCTTTGTACATACAAAAGCAGTTGAAAAATTGACATATATGGTGTACGCACCCCCGTTGAGAAACTTTTGCAAGGGTCGGTTATTGGGTTATAATAGGGTGTGCAATTAAATATTTTATATCTCAAACTCCTCCATTCTTCAAGACACATTAAACCGCCGCTCGTTGCAGCCCATAAATCCGTACTGAGCCCTCATAGTGAGTCACACATAGCCAATTTTCTCTATACGAATCCATTCTACCAATAAAGAAAGGATTCATAGGATTTAGGATAAGGATTTTTATAAAAAGGGATTTAGAGAAGAAATGACATCGGAAAATACCATATATTTTTTAAATCAGAAAACCTACTTGGTTTCACCGTAACCGAAATTGCATATCGCACGTTGAGAATGACAATGTCACTAACCAAAAACGACATATTTTTTACTCTTGGCAACATTTTTCTTTGTTAAGTATAAACTTTAAAATGCAGAGATCCCTGTGACCGTAGCTTGCGTAGAAACTGCTAGGTGGCATAGTGACGATACGTTGTTTAGAGGGGTGGATTGCAATTTCTTGAACTTTAAACGCTCTGTAGCAGCCGCACCTTACACAAATTAAAAAAAAATAAACGATTGGTGGCTTTCTACTACCACTGGTTCAGACCTGGATAGGTCTGCCGATGGGAATCGATGTTCTGATACGGTTGAATGATACGCAGAAACAAATTATAATGCACCCACGTACCTTGAGAAGACGATGACGAGTTCCACCTCGATCGGGCACCGGCCGGTTCCTTGTCTGTCCAATATATCCGATATTTTTTGGTTTAGTCGTTCAGATGAGTGTACGATGTTACGCGTTTGGTAGATGGCGTTCAACTGCCCTCACGTTTTTTAAAATAAAAACTCGCGGGTACAGAGTGCATGACAGCTCATAAAAATGGCTGCGATTTGTTCCTGCATAATTCACCCACACAGAAACATCGATTGAAATTTATTTAAATTGAAAATACTAAAGTTCCTATTTTTTTTCGACAAATTAAAATTCATATACTTATGAATAAGGAATGGTGACGAAACATCCCGCCCACCAAAATAGCTATGGTATTTTCTGGTTACTAATACTTAGATACGACACGATATACTTAATGGAAATTACTCACTAAACTATATTAAAAAAATATATATATATATATGGTTACCCTACACCTTGAAATTGATCCATTAGAAGTTAAGCCTCCATTGGTAAGGGGCACAATTTGACTAATGGCCGTTGTACGATAGAATTGGATGCAGTTTTAATCATTGCTATTCTAACAACCCCGTCAGCTCCAGCCAGAAGGTCTTGAACTCTACCGAGGGTCCAGTGCAATGGTGCACGATTATCGTCTTTAATAATAACCATCGAGCCGATAGTTAACGGTTTCGATTCTTTGGTCCATTTGGCACGTTGATTCAAAGAATTTAAATACTCGCGTTTCCATCTGCACCAAAATGTTTGATGAAATGATTGTAACAGCTGCCATCGACGAAGTCGATTAATATTGATTGAAGAGAGGTCTTCGTCGGGAACCGCTGTTAACGGTTCTAAAGTTAAAAAATGACCCGGGGTCAATGCGGACAAATCGTTAGGATCAGTACTCACCGGACACAAAGGTCTTGAATTCAAAATGGATTCGATTTGGGTGAAAAGTGTGGTTAGCTCTTCGAAGGTTAAGACTTGATCTCCCACAACTCTATAGAGGTGAGTTTTAGCCGCTTTGATTTGTATCTCCCAAACACCGCCAAAGTGGGGAGCCGATGGAGGATTGAACTTGAATTCAATCCTCTCCGCACGAGAAGCATTCTCCATAAGAGAAGAGAGTTGATTTTTAGCACCAACGAAATTCGTACCGCAATCTGCGTGTATTACGTTACAGCGCCCACGACGTGCTACAAAGCGACGAAGTGCAGCAATGAAACCGTCCGATGAGAGCGACGAAACAACTTCCAGATGCACAGCTTTGGTAGATAGACAAACGAACAAACATAAATATTCTTTGTCTATCTTTGCACCACGATGAAGCCCCAATTTAATGCGGAACGGTCCACCAAAATCCACGCCCACGACACAAAAAGGTTTCACTTGATTGACGCGGTAAGACGGAAGATCGCTCATAAATGGTTGTAGCGGTTGAGGGTGCAAGCGATAACAATTAATGCATTTGGAAATAATGCGGCGAATTGTTCGTTTGGCTGAAACAACCCAGAACTGCTGTAAAAGCAAGAAATGTGTGGTGTTAATGCCTGGATGGCAGTAACTACGATGAATAAATTCGATGATTAAATTTGTTAAGGGATGATCAGAAGGCAAAAGAGCAGGATGTTTGTGCTCATATTCTAGCCCCGAACGAGAAAGTCGACCGCCCACCCTGAGAATACCTATATCGTCAAGGAAAGGGCTGAGTTTACGAAAGTGCTTTAATAATGATTTATTAGTTTTTAGGTTTGATATTTCCTCCGAAAAAGCGCAAGCTTGTAGTTGTTTCACGATAAGCATGAGCGCATTATGATGCTCGATGTTATCTATCAGCAGATTTTGTTTTTTAGAGATACGCTTTCGCGTCGCGTTAATAAAACGATTGACATACGAACAAACATTTAAAAGTTTGGATAATGAAGAAAATCGATGTGTTAATTCAATGAAGATGTTTGAATCATTCTTGTTCTCAACGGTAACTAACGTCAATGATTTTCGAGTTTCAGCTTGTGCGATACTCTTCTCCTCCTGAGATAAAATAAATGGTTTCACTGGCCACGATTGTTTTGCTTGTGAAAGCCAATATGGTCCCGCCCACCATAGCGAATTGTTGACAATTTCACTAGGAAACAGGCCACGCGAGCAAATGTCTGCTGGGTTATCTCCAGAAGAGACATGATGCCAACATTCCGGAGGAGCAATGTCTTGGATGTGACTAACGCGATTTGCTACGAACGTAGCCCAGCGTGATGAGTGGGAACGCAACCAATGCAGTACAATCATGGCATCTGACCACAAGAAGACAGAATCGATTTGAATTTTAGTGAGATAGGTCTCACGAATGTACTTGTATAGATCAGCCAGTAAGACTGCAGCGCAGAGTTCTAAACGAGGTAATGGAATACGCTTAAGAGGAGCGACACGAGCCTTTGAACAAACATAAGTAACTTGAATGTCACCATTTTCGTCGATAGAACGCAAATAAAATACTGCACCATAGGCAGACTCAGAACTGTCGCAGAAGCCGTGTAGTTCGAATGATTTCGCCTTACGATAGATAAGTTTGCGCGGTATACGAAGATTTGCGAGTTGTGGAAGTTGATCCGAATAAGAAGTCCATGCCTAGACGACCTCGAGAGGTGGCGTTTCATCCCAGCTTACACCGATAATCCAAAGCTTT